AAACACTCAGAGAATTCCGGTTCACGAGAGCAAAGTAATTATGCCAACCACTCAAAAGATTGAAACTTAACATCTTACTAATTACACGTGGTAATGTTCATATGATTAGTACGTCCCAATCTTTGTCGGTTCAGTCATGTTATAGTCAATCCTGATGACTGCTTAAATTTGTCCTGGTCCCGGCCCTGCATGCTGTGTTTACTGCGGCGGCGAGCAGTACGAAGAACGTGTGCTTGCTGTGCTTGTCCTCGTAGCCAGTGGGTCAAATGAATTCAAATGATATAGTTTCGCGCATGTGATCTGCGATCCCATCCCCCTAGTATTGAGCCAGGATTTTTTCTAAACCTCCAACGCATGAAAATAGGCGGGTATCCACTAGACATTTGTCAGCCACCTCAATTGATACAGTAGTCAGGTGCTTATTATGTTTATTAATATCGGGTTGACATTTACATGAAACTAAGAAGTGCCCAAATGGAACAGCCTATACTATAGACCATTAATGTTTATTTAAGGGTGCTAATTAAAATCTGGGGGAAGGCAGTTTGAGCAGTGGATTTTCGCCAAAACAAAACCTACAATCACCATTTGTTTTTATATGTGTTTATGATTTTACCATTTGGACACTGAAAGGAAGCCTTCCACAAAGTATGTTTCTGGGTTTCCCAAATGATTTTCCATGACCCTCATACCAACCTCCTAATACTATGGCCCCCAAGAAGAACCGTGGACCTTCCTGTATGAAATCCAAACATCAAGAGCTCATAAAAGTTTACCAGAGTGGTGGTGTATCTGACGAATCTGACTGAGGGAAAGAATGTAAACATCCCATGATCATTTGCCCATTCACCACTGGCAGACCAGTGCTCATAGCTGCTGGGTTCAATGATCAACTTGCAGCTTGGTGGAAAAGATGCAAAGTGGGATGTGGTGTCCTGGAGGCCTAGATCCACCTCCCATAGTGGTGACATGCTGCTGATGGCTGATGCACCATGGCTACAGTATCATCCCGAAGAGGAATGTCCAGAACTGATGCAAGGCAGTTTCACCGTGGTAGGGTTGAACTCAAAGATCAAGGGATGGGGAAGGATCTCGGTCATATACATTCAGTCGGTGAGTACGTAGACCAACCACAGGCTCACTTGAAAATCGGTTGAGGTGCCATTTCCATGGCCAATTTATAGACTTGTTGGTGGTTTGGAACATTTGGTTTATTTTTCCATATATATGGGAATGGCAACCCCAACTGACTTTCATATTTTTCAGAGGGGTAGGTCAACCACCAACCAGTAGAAAGACTTCACCATGGCAGACTCTCCAGGCTTAGCGGGACAATGTACCACTGCCCAACTTGTCGCCGGGGTGGGTCACGATGGTGATGATATCAGTCACGTGTTTTACATCCCTTCGGGGATCGTTGGTGGTTCAACCTTGCCTTTTTTTTTGCAACTTGCAACATCGCATTTTCTGATTTGCTTGTGTTTGGAAAGCTGCTCGTCCAACAAGCGACATGTTTGGGGGGTGGCAAGCTGAAATACATTGAAATACATCCCCACCGTCACGTCTTTTTCCACTCCTCCTGGCAAGAAAGAAACTCCATTGGTGCAGAAATTGCAAAAGTTCTTGTATTTTTCTTCTACTCTTGATTCCTCTCAGGTCACATAGTCTGTACCTCCCAAGATTTCAAGATAACCTCAATACCTCCTTTTTCGTGGTAAAAAACAAGCCGGGCTGTCCGGCTTCGTCCAGTGACATCCACCACACCACCAGTTCCAGCCATGACGCGCCATGGAGCTACGCCATGGCGCAGCTCTGCAATGAGTCGTCCAATATTCGCGATGGCCCCGCGGGCGCCAGGCAGGGTTTTTGGACGAATGTTAGTTATAAGTTGGTTAATATAAAGCCCATTAAAACGGGGGGTGTATTTCTTTCCATAAAACCTCGTGCAGTGTGTAACACACAAACTTCCGATGACACGTTTGCTGCGTATCAAAACGTGGGTACCTCAAAAGAGAAGTTTACTCCTTGGAGGAACATCGCACTTAGTACCCTCTGCTATGTTTTACGTTGAACAAAATCTCGTTAATTTTATGGATAGATATGGATTCATGATCTATAACTGTTTTTTTTCATTGCCAGATGAAATTCCTGTAGAGGAAGTGCTTCTATGTGGTTGTATCAGTTATATCAATATCTAAATAACTTTGTCCTAGTTGGTGCTTAGTGGCATCCCGACTTTTGCAGCTTATAAATCTTTATTCTTGATGATTAGATCCCTAGAACATCCTTAGAAATCCCCAAAAGACTTAGTGTGACAATTCCTAGAAAACCCCTAGAACATCTTTAAAACATCCCTAAAGTTCCTAGAACATTCCTCGAACATCCTTCGAAAATAGCTAAAAATCCCTCCGAAAATCACGCATTTTTGCTAGTTCAATCACCTTTCCTTGCCTTGATCAACCCCTCCAGGCAATGGCCTGTTCCATGGCGCTATGGCAACTTGGACCACGGTTGTTGCCAACCGGGACAAAAACGGGGAGTTGAAACAAGGAAAAAGGACATCATTTACCAATGAGATTACACAATGATGTTCATTTGACCAATGAGATTGCCACAATGGATGAACATGTTTACGTATGTTTATGTGATTTTTTGTCACATGCCCTCTGTAATTATTGGCTACCCATGTGTTACGTAAGGGACATCAGCAGCAAACTTGGCGTCCGATTCACCGTATCGGTCGGATGACATTTGACGCCAGGGTGCACTCAAGTACATCAAAAAACGACATGGTTTCGCCTCAAATTTTCAGGTAACCCAAAATAATACATTTTTTTTGTTTCTAGGATGCGGGGCCGGGGCCCCTAGATAGCTAAGTTGGTTTATAACTAGTTTATACAACCATGGTCTGAGTCTATGGTAGATCGCCAATTATACAATATAAGGGTGTTTACAAACTTATGACTAGGGCTCCCCAATTTGTAGGATGTTGTAGATGATGTTTCTGTCATCAATTCCTGGTCTCTTTCTTTTGATGCCTGAGCAGAAACAACCCCATGTGGATTCATGCGAAGACCTTGCAGCAAGCAACCATGACACGCTGCTTGGTGGTTTGCTTAATATATATTTAATATACGTAGGGAAAAATATCACCAAACATGTTTTTTTCCATAATATATTGGGGATAATCCTTCCCATTGACGAACTCCATCATTCTTCAGAGGGGTAGGTCAACCACCAACCATTGATGGATGATGAAATTCCCCGTTGCTCAGGGATTTCCCCCGCGACCGGCCTTGTTTATTTAATGTTTGGTCATATGATGCCATATGGGTTCTCTTTAATGTCAACCCCCACAAACAGATGTGCCATGGCTGCTATGGTTTGTTTGATCGAACTGAGAGTTGGACCACCCAAGTGCAAGGAGTGTTTATCACCTATGCGTGTGACGGTTTTTGGGGTAGATTGGATAGACATACATATAGTATATATAGTATAGTTGTTAAGACTCTTCTTGTTGTTGCTGCTGTTGAGACCATCTCTCTCTGTCTCTACAATATTATTATATAATATTATGAATATACAATATGTAAATAAATGTAGTATATAATAGTATAATACATATATATATATATATAGATAGATACATACACATGCTTGATTTCAATCTACTGCTCATTCAGGCTTGATAAGCCTTTGGTTGATATAATATATATATATATATATATGCATGGTGGTGTACCATTTTCTATGAATGATCGAACACTTCGGGGGGTTCCGCATTGCCCATGTGCGCAGTTGTTTGACCCCGAGCGATTTATACAAAACCCCTAGATAATTCCTAATTTGAAAGTGTTGGGGATGATTCCACTTTAATGTATGCATGTATACATATACCTAATACATCCTAATGCATAATAGATAATACACAATACACAATACAATACATATACAAGTACAAATACATATACATATCTGCATATACGTATACATATACATTTGATATATGCATTTTTTACAATTACAACTTATATTATATATATATATTAATCATAGATATACATACGCGTATACATACACATATCCTGGCAGCCCTCTTCAGCGACGCCCGGTTACGTTCCGAGGCTGGTCATCCATCCGACAGGCGCTGCTTTTACGTGTGGCGACGAGGGTTTGACGTGTGGCGGTATTTCCTTAACGAAAAGATGGAGATTGAACAATGACATACCCTGTGGTACACATAGAAAAAGCTATGGAAAATTGGTGATTTATAGTTGATTTACCATTTTAAAGAATGGTGGGTCTTTCCAACCCTGGCGCTGGTAAAGCATACGCCCCATGGATGTGGCACATCCCTTCCTTTGGGCACATCCCTTCCTTGGGGCACATCCCTTCCTTGTTTTTTTTTGTCTTCAACTTGGCTGTGAATTCGTTGATTTCTTTTGGTTGTGGACAAGGCTGGGTTTGCTTATGGCATAAATGGTAGATATCTCATGATACTGTTCATGGAATACATCCTGCATCACCTTGGATGGTTGAAACCCTATGAATAACGGGATGAACCACCTACAGTATCAACTGGTGCAGGATTTCGCAACCATCCACCGTTAATCTCTATAGTTGAGGGGGTTATAAACCACTTTCTCGGGCATGTGATTGGTATTCAACATTCACAGAAGATCCTGGAGATTTTGGACCCCTCCAAATCACATCTTTGTTGGTGAATATCTTCATGTTTGCTGGGTAAATTCATACCAAATTCCCATGATGTCTATTAATTTGTTGCATCAAATTTCGGATTTCTTCAGAGGTTCAGTCCCGTTCTTGGCAAAATCGAATTCTAGTTGCTGGTTAAGCGGTTTCGATCCTTTTTTGTTTCCAACCCATGGAACTTTGAGAATCTGGGAAATTTGAAAAAAAAACATATTATGGACACTCAGGACGTCAATCCAATTTCGCTTTGGAAGCTCACATAGAACCAGTCAAATCCAGGAGTTGCAGCTCTTCTTGGAAAATTCCGCGGATTTCTTCCGGCAGCTTTCTGTGCGGAGGCGGCTTGAGAAATCCTGGGGAGTTTAGCGGTGTAGGGTGGGTGCGATGGGTGGTGTGACGGGTGGAGCATTAAGGGGTTCATGTGTACTTGTACACGCAGGTGATGCTATGGTAGTAACTTGCATTCTCTGAGGCCAAGAGGTTGAAGCGCGCTGCGTTTCAAAGGACCATGGCATAGAACACAGTGCCTAGACAATTCAGATAGGACATGGTAAACTCTCCAGAAACTACACATTCCACGGTTTCGCTGTTATCTTTCAAGTCAAGAACACAGGGGATGAAACAATGGAATAAAATGGATTTTCTGAACGCATATGGATGATTTTGTTGTATGTCCAAGAAAAGGGGGATGGTAAACCTCCGGATTTCAGACATGTCCTCAAGTCTTCTTGCAAACTTAATATCAAATGGTTCGTTGTGTAGTTGGGTGATTCAGTACTTCAAACATTTATTTAAGTATATATATATATAGTATGTATTATAAATAAGGTAATATCGTGCTGAGTAGCCGGTGTAAATCAGCTGTTCGTTCTCCATGAACAGAGACAAGGTGGTGCATCCCTAGTTAGAAAGCAACTTTGCGGACTGGGGCACCACCTTGAATGCAAGATATCAAGAAGTTGCTGATTTGGTGGGTCTACAAGATTCTAGCCATGGAGAGCTTCCCTGTTTTTGCAGGTTATGAACCTGCCTGGTTTAGTGAGGACTATGACATGCTCCACTATTAGGAACCCCTATCAACCAATCAATATAAAGCGTAAAAGGATACTATCAACAAAAATGTCCTATTTGATCATCATTTCCCTATGCATAAATTGCCATGGTATTCCTATCCCCCACAACTTTAAAATCTGAATCCCCATGGTAGGATGCCAATGTGCCACTGCGATCCTTGGCCGATTCATGGCCCCCCTTCAAGTGGCAAGGCACTTCAAGTGGCTCTTATCCTGGTTCTCCCGAACGGCGCATACCAACATCTGGCTCAGCGGCTGCCCCTTAGGACCGGCTTGGGAGATTCCATGGGGTTCCAAACCAACAGAATTCGGAGGCGCCTCCTTCTGGGTACCTCTTTCTGGTAAACATACAAAAAACATCAAAAAACAATGGACAGATCCACCATGTTTAATGGGTAAATCAACGATTTCAATGGCCATTTTCAATAGCTATCTTTCGCAGTGATGCTGACAAAGAGCTCTACACCAAGCGACTTGCAAGTGGCGCCTTGGTTTAGTGGAGATGGGCAAAAACACTGCGGACTTGGAACAGACCCAAGCTATTTCTTCAGGCACAAGACCGATCTAAAGGCGAGAGGCCTCCTTTCAATGAAGCTGGACCACAGCCAACCTGAGAAGTGAACGAAGGTGGAATTCTAGGGGGCAAAGATCACCAGAGCAGCAGAGGATGCAAGTCAGAGAAGGAGCAGAAGAGCTGGAATACCAGCATACCATCTCTGGTTGGCGGTTTGGAACATTTTTGATTTTCCACAACATAGGGGAACAATCATCCCAACTGACTAATATTTTTCAGAGGGGTTGAAATCACCAACCAGATCTGCTGCGTTCTTTCATAGTCAATGCATGCTGTTGATCAACGAACAATGGAGGTGGAAAACCAACAACCAACAACCAAAATGTATGCTGGCTGTGAAGATATCCATAGGGGCACCCAGCCAAGGGCGATGCAGACCGGGTAGGTTCAAGTTCTGTAAAAATGGAATGTAGGGCCCAAAAAATTCCAGCTTAAATGGTCAGAAACTGGTCAGAATCACTGGATTTAGGTAGTGATCTGGGGTTTTCCCTATGTTTAGACAAGCACATGTGGTTAAACGACGTTGCCCATTGAATGAAGACATTTGTTTACCCAAGGTGTATCCCATCAATCTGTTGGTATTTGCCAGTTCCCAACGAACTGCGATGATCGTCACCATCATACTTAGACGGACCCTAGGATTACTTGACGGCTGCGTAACTGGAAGAAAGCACTGGTACTAGTTAACTAGTTTGTTCGTCCCATAGCACATGTGAGATCATCGAAGTATTGCTGGCATCTCAGAAATGAACATGATCGAACATTGAAATTGGGGAAACAAAACGAATCATAGTGTAAGTTGCCACCTGTCAACCGAGGTTGAAAAAACACTGACTACTTGTAGGAGAATCCCACTTAGTCTTTTCTTTGATGTAATTATCTGCACAGAAGTCCGCTACGTCTGGTTGTTATATTAATATATAATTATAATACATAGCATATATATATATATAACATTATATAACTATATAATACATAACACACACACACATATATATATATATACATATATATATATACATGTATATGTAGAATATGGGTCATAACCTTTACCAATTGATGCTATCAGTTACGATCAGTGGGGTGATCCTCCGATGCCACCACAGAACCGGGAACATAGAAGAATGGTTCTTGGTAAGCAACTGTTGTTAGACATTATTACATAGTTATGGACGTATATGTTTTCTATTGGTTAAATAGTGTGAATCCCTCCAAAGGTCACCCATGTTCCTAGTTAATTCATATTAAGCCCTCATTTATCATGGGTGAAACCATTGGTAAAACCAGCGTCAGAGCCCTATCATGGCCTGCCTGAGGAGTTTTGACCTTGCGCCTTTTCACCGTGCTGATCTCCAACGATGCCGACCGCTGCATCCAGATGCGCGACGCACGCATGGGGTGCCCCGGCGTTTATGGAGACACCAATGGGATGAATCGTTTAGTACAACAGTTGTGGCCCTTAGCAGTTATGAATGAACACAAATGCTGGGTAAATTAAAACGACCTCACTGCGACCTCACTGGGAATCATGGTTAGTAAGGGAAATCATACCCAAATGGCCTTAATTCAGGTTAGTGAAATTTTTAACTGGTTGATGGTTTGGATTTTTTCCCGAATGCGTAGCAAGGGTTCCCGTTTCACTCTGGGGGTCTGGGGGTTGAGGGTGTGTTCGCTCGACGTTGCGTTCGCGAGCGCAACCGTCCGCAACCGTTCGCAACCGTTCGCAACCGTCCGCAACCGTCCGTACGAACTCCGTATGGCCGTGCCTATGGGAAGTTTTGCAGAGGTGGTCCTTTTTGGAGGTTGCAGACGCGTCGTTGCTTCGTTTCGCGTGGCAGGCGTGGCACTTCGTGACATTCAGACGTGTTCTGCAACGTGTCGAAAGTCGTTTTGCGTGGCAGGCGCGATACTTTTGTGACGTTTTCAGAAGATGTGTTGCAGTTTTCGTGGCAGGCGCAGCACTTTGGACGTGTCCATCGTCATTTTTCGTGGCAGGCGCAGCACTTTAGACGTGTCGCGTTGCGTGTTTTTTGCAAATCGCATTGGCAGGGCTGCGTCAAGTGGCGACAAGGTGCAAATTCCGTGGCAGGCGTGGCATTTTGTGCGATGTGCTGAAAATTGACGGAAGCCTCGCACGAAACATCGATTTTGAGGTTGCAAATTTTCAGGTTCTAAGGAAAACTCGTAGGAAAACGTCGATTTTGAAGCTACAAAGTGTGAAAATTGGAGGAAGTCTCGCACGAAATGCTCGTTTTGGTGCTCCCACCTGTCTCGTCTCGCGTGTCTGGTTTTCCAGTGGCCTCGCCGTGTCTATGGGGGAAGCTGCAAAACTTGTCTTTTTGTCATGTTGCCAACTGTGAAAATTGCCGGAAGTCTCGCACGAAATGCTGGTTTTGATGTTCCTATGTGTCTTGTCTCGAGTCTCTGGTTTTCCTGTGGCTTCGCCGTGTCTATGGGGGAAGCCGCAAAACCTCGCCTTTTCGAAGGTTTCCAAGCAGCTTGTCATGTCGTTTTGCGTGGCAGTTGTGGCACTTTGTGACATTCCAACCTGTTTGATAAAGTGTCGAAAATGTGAAAATTGGAGGAAGTCTCGTACGAAATGCTCGTGTTTCTGCATCCACGTGTCTCGTCCCGAGTTGTTGGATTTTCTGGGGCATCGCCGTGTCTATGGGGGAAGCTGCAAAACCTCTCTTTTTCGAAGGTTGCCAAGCAGGTTGTCATGTCGTTTTTCGTGGCAGGCGTGGCACTTTGTGACATTCCAACCTGTTTGACAACGAGCCGAAAGTGTCTCTGGTTTTCTAGACACGTCGCAGTGTCTATGGGGGAAGCTGCAAAACATCTCCTGTTCGAGGGTTTCTAAGCAGGTTGTCATGTCGTTTTGCGTGGCAGGCGTGGCAACTTTATACTCTGCACTCTACACCCCACACTCCACGCTCTACACTTTCCACTCCACACTCCACACTCCACACTTTACACTCCACTCTTTACACTGTACACTCCTCACTCCACACTTCACACTTTACATTCCACACTCCTCACTTTACACTCCACACTCCACCTTTGACACTCTACACTTTCCACTCCACACTCTACACTCCACACTCCTCACTTTACACTCCTCACTCCACACTTTACACTCCACACGCTACACTTTCCACTCCACACTCTACACTCCACACTCTACACTTTACACTCCACACTCCACACTTTACACTTTACACTCCTCACTCCACACTCCACACTCTACACTCCACGCTCCTCACTTTACACTCCACACTCCTCACTCCACAATCTACACTTTCCACTCCACACTCTGCACTCCACACTCCACACTCCACACTTTACACTCCACACTCTACACTTTACACTTTACACTCCTCAGTCCACACTTTACACGCCACACTCCTCACTTCACACTCCTCACTTTACACTCCACACTCTACACTTTCCACTCCACACTCCACACTCCACACTTTACACTCCATACTTTACACTTTTCATGCCACACTCCTCACTTTACACTCCACACTCCACCTTTGACACACTACACTTTCCACTCCACACTCCACACTCCACACTTTACACTCCACACTCCACACTCCACACTTTGCAATCCACACTCCACACTTTACACTTTGCACCCCTCACTCCACACTCCACACTCTACACTCCACACTCCTCACTTTACACTCCACACTCCACACTTTACACTTTCCACTCCACACTTTACACTCGAAACTCCTCACTTTACACTCCCCACTCCACACTCTACACTCCACACTCCGCACTTTACACTCCACACTTTACACTTTACACTCCTCACTCCTCACTCCACACTTTACACTTTACACTCCACACTTTACACTTTACACTCCTCACTCCACACTTTACACTTTACACTCCACACTCCACACTCTCCACACTTTACACTCCACACTCCACACTCTACACTTTACACTCCACACTCCCCACTCGACACCCCTCACTCCACACTCGACACTCTACCTTTTACACTCCACACTCCACACTTTACACTCCACACTCCACACTGCAGACTGGTAACAGGGGAAATATGTACAAGACTGTTCAAACAAACTATTGCAGAAAAGTGTTGTGCGTGACTGCATCTCCATGTGTTTTGACATTTGTACCATTTAACATACGTGTGAGCATTCGGGTTCGTGGGCTGCATCTTGTTTTTAATTTTCCATTTCATATATGGGATAATCCTTCCCATTGATTAATATGTTTCAGAGGGGTTAAAACCACCAACCAGGAACATAAAAGGGAATATGACATAATATAACATAATATAACTCCTGCAACTGAGGTGATATATCCTTTTTATTCATTTTATATATCAGTTATATGAGGTTTGTTCAGCCAGTGAAAAAAATCTGTTTTCTGGCTGCAACTGTATCTTCTTGCCATGGGAATCAAAGATTTTAACCAAAAAGACTGGCCATGTGGAGAACACTGACAAAGAGTCGAAGCTGTTTCTTTGTGGATCACCGTTTCTTCCGTAACTTCCGGTTGATGTGTTGGTTTCTCAGTTCAAACACGGGGGTACCCCTGAAATGGGGGTACCCCTCATTCCCCATTTCATCATCCATTTTAGATTGGGATGTTCCATGAAATAAACCGTCCAGCTATTGGAATAGCACCATTTAAGGAAACCCCCCAAATGGTCAGACCTTTCAAAACTGCTCAAAGAGACCCCTCATCTCCACCCCAGCTGGTTCTTTCCGATGCGAGTGCAAGTGGTGGTGCCACAATGGTCCGTTTGGAAAAAAATGGCTAATAACTTGGCCTAATAACTATAGGTGAACTAAGGTTTATGGTGGATATAATCATATTAATATAGATCGAACTAGCTCGATGACATGAACCGGATTCATTGAATTACCCTCTGGCGATCAGAAGTGGTTTCCTGCAGAATCCGCCATTTTTTCGTTGGTTTTTCCAGTGACCAGAAGGTTCCCACGAGGTGGTTCCCACGATTTATCTAGCACACGTGCAACAGTTCATCTACTGAACTAATGTGGTTAAAACAATGCCATAAACCATCCCCCAAATCACCATAAATGGGTGGTATAGACGATCAAAAATGCATGGGGTGGGTTATTATTGTTTTACCCACATAATACCATCTTGTCAATCAGTAAACTATGACATAAATCCAAGTAAATCATATTTCTGCTTGTGAAATCATGTGAAATCCGAACCAGAACCAAGCGTTGCCAACTTGTTTGGCTCGCAGTTAGGCTAGAGTTGCTCCACCTTCCGCTGGCTGCCGTGGCCGCTTCGGGCTGGCCGTGCTTTAGGATCTTGGCGCATCTGGCCGAGGAGACTCTCGTCCCTTTTTGGGAAGACGTGTGGTTATACACAGCTGGGATGATCCTCCAAGATTTGTGAGGGATAACTGTAATGTCAACCCTGGATGAATAAAGCCCCGAATTATATAGGCTGTTGAATTGGGAGGGTACCATAAAAAAGTATGAGATAATGACTATTGGAGGAGTATCCCCTAATTAATAAACCATGGTTTATTCATCCGGGGTTGACATTAACTAACCTGGATCCTGGTATGATATGGTTTCATAATGTTTCATAGTGATCATAAGTCCTCCTACACGGTCACCAACTACAGTTCCTATTTGTGGGATGATCCTCCAAGTAATCCCTTCACCCTAAGATTAAACGTCCCCCCCAAAGAATAAAACCTAGGGGTATGTTTTTTTTGGGGGTGGTATTTAATATTCGGGGAGAAGCTGGCTCCTAATATTAAAATAAAAACATTAATAAGAATAAATAAAATGTTCGATTTCAAAATCACTTAAACTCCCGTTTAAAATCTCATTACTGCAAAATATTGCAAAAAAAAGATTTTGAAGCTTTCCCCTAATATTGATTTTCAAACCTTAAGTAAAAAAAAAACTTGTTTTGTTGATTGTAACAAACGGACCCTTATAAAAAACACCCCGGGGCTAACTAGTCTTTATTATTAAGGGGGTAGAAACTTCAAAAGGACCTTGATTTTTTAATTGTTTTCTAAAGGGATCAATTAAAAGCCAAATTGACCAATCTGAAATTTCCCAAGACAAATAATCTGGGGTGTTTTTATATGTCTTTATTATTTAGGGGAGGTTTAGTAACAGGGAGAAGGGATTAGTGTTTTAACATATGATTTTGGCCTGTGTTCAAATCGAATGGTGCTCCAACTACTGCTACTGGACCTTCATTTCGGCATGGACTTTTTTTGCATCGTTGACAGTGTTTATTCGATATCAGTTTCTTTTCACTCAAATCAACCAACATCCATATTTTATCATAAATATCATAAATCAGCTATGTAAATCTCCTAAATCCCATGAAATTCATTCAATTTCCCCATTTTCCTATGGTTTTCCCATGGTTTTCCTATGCTTTTCCTATGGTTCCCATGACCTTTTTGGGTGCCCAAGATGGCCATCCTGGCCGGAGGAGTCCCGGCGCATCAGCTTTCCCTTGGACAACGCCTGTGACGACTTGGACAGCGAAGCTGCCAGGAGGGGATGGTCGTCCCATGAGTCGGTGGAGTATAGAACTTATACCTAGATGATATTCATATGATATTCATATGTCATGTTATATATATATATATATGTCAATACAATATATATATAGATAATAATTATATGTCATATTGTCATATTGTATGATATATATGTATATATAATATATATAATTTGTATATATATATATATTTATTTATTTATTTATTTATTTATTGATATGTAGTACATCATGTATTTTATTTTTACAGAACATCTTCAAATAAACTAAATAATCATTCAAACATGTTATTTTCGATACAATCACTAACACTCTGAAACAAAGTAACATAGTATATATATATATATACACACGTTTTGTTGATCATTCTATATGACTGTTAACGTTTATCCACATCATTCCTGGTCAGAAATTAGGAGCTTTCGAGAGCAGCTCCTTCGGCCGGCGCTGCAACAGCAGCGCTTAGTGCCTTGGGATGCTATCCATGTGGAAACCATGGGAGAGTCACGGGAAAAGCCATGTGAAAAACCAGAAAAACATTGGGAAAACTATGGGAAAACTATCGAAAACTATGGAAAACCATGGGAAAACCATGGAAAACTATGAAGAAATATGAAAAGTCAACTGCATTTGTCAACTGGATGGATAGTTTGGGAGATATCATTATTAAATGTTATTAATATATATTAATACACTCTGGAAATCAAACATGGCAATTCGAAATCCACCGTTTATAGATGTTTATAGGTATTTATAGTCGATTTTAGCATTAAAACATTCATTCATAGAGGATCTTCAATAGCTATGAGGACACCGTCGGACACCGGGCCGTACGAATTCTCTGAGGAGTTTGAGAGGATCCAGGTGGTCCCAACTCAGCAGCAAACAGGTCTTTGTTATTCATTTGTTATTCATGTGTAATTTAGTTTTTTCATGTTTTTTTGATGGACATATTCGTCACTATAAATCTGGGTGGTGATTTTTGCCTCAAAAGCACCTTCGTTACGGTGAATGATTTGTTCAACCAAGCCCGATGCTTAGAAGGTGCGGATCCCAAACACGATTCTATGTCATGCTTGAGAAACCTGGACACCCATGTGTGCTTCAAAGAAGGATTTTCCGTGGGAGGCTGATTTGACCCTGGAGAAGCAACTCTCAACCATTGCAAACAAACCTGATGACTTTAACTGGTTTGGAATCGGAACATTAATTTTATGGTTCCATTCAGTTGGGAATGTCATGATCCCAACTGACGAACTCATCATGTCATGATCCCAACTGACGAACTCCATCATTTTTCAGAGGGGTAGGCTCAACCACCAACCAGCATCAAATCACCCATTCTCGTTTCTCAGAAGATGAGCAACAATGTTTGATGGTCAGTGAGTACCACAAGAAATCTGACAAAAAAAGTCATCAACATTTATTTCAACAACTTCCTGGTTTTCCAGTGGTGGGATGCTGATATATTGTTGAGTACCTACATGAAAGCTCACCGGCTTGTGCGCCAAGCTGAAGTGGATCCTGGCACTGCAGATGAGCTGACCAAGAGCATGTGGAAGCCTGCGGTGGACAGCCGGGCAGCTCATAACTATTTAGTCTAATCTTGATTAGTCTAAACCTAAACCGTGATATTATCTTATCCTAATCTAACCTAATCTAATCCAATCTTAATCTTAATCCAAAGCTCGATCTTGAGCCTGACCTGATCTAAACTGAATCTAATCAAAATCAAAAGTAAGCTAATATATGTAATCTATTGTAATCTATGTGCTTTTCCACATACAATACATATATATATATATAGACATACATATGCATATGTGGATGGATCACACCATGTCAAAACCTATTAGAAAAAGTATTTCCGGGAATGACCATCCATCAACCAGCTACTTTTGGGTACCTAGGATCCTATATATATATATCTATACGTATGTATGTATATGTATATGTACATGTATATGCCTACGGACCGAAAACTGAGGTCGCAAAACGCTACTTTTTCGTTGCTGAGGTTCTTGATGCTACGCTGATGATGGGGTGGGGTGGGGTGGGGCATGTTAACGTTCGTGTGAACTTGCTGAGGTTCTTGATGCTACGCTGATGATGGGGTGGGGTGGGGTGGGGCATGTTAACGTTCGTGTGAACTTGCTGAGGTTCTTGATGCTACGCTGATGATGGGGTGGGGTGGTGTGGGGTGGGGCATGTTAACGTTCGTGTGAACTTGCTGAGGTTCTTGATGCTACGCTGATGATGGGGTGGGGTGGGGTGGGGTGGGGCATGTTAACGTTCGTGTGAACTTGCTGAGGTTCTTGATGCTACGCTGATGATGGGGCTGGTGTGGGGTGGGGGTGGGGCATGCTAACGTTCGTGTGAACTTGCTGAGGTTCTTCTGATGCATGTTACCGCGTGTTGCTAGGGCTGATGGGGTGGGTGGTGGGGGTGGGGCATGTTAACGTTCGTGTGAACTTGCTGGGTTCTTGAGCTACGCTGATGATGGGGTGGGGTGGGGTGGGTGGGGCATGTTAACGTTCGTGTGACTTGCTGAGGTTCTTGATGCTACGCTGATGATGGGGTGGGGTGGGATGGGGTGGGGTGGGGCATGTTAACGTTCGTGTGAACTTGCTGAGGTTCTTGATGCTACGCTGATGATGGGGTGGGGTGGGGTGGGGTGGGGTGGGGCATGTTAACGTTCGTGTGAACTTGCTGAGGTTCTTGATGCTACGCTGATGATGGGGTGGGGTAGGATGTGGCTGGATGCCGCATGGACGTCCTGGTGGGTTTGCATTGCGGACTTGTGCAAGATGTGGCAATGGAGATTCATCCACACGTACAAAAACTTGGCGAAAGCCACGATGTAAAAATGACGGTGCGGACAGTTGAGCATGCCTGAACTTGTTTGAAGCAGAAATTGCGTTTCGCCTAGGCGAAATACACATTTATCTAAAAAACCACCAAATTCAGACGTCTGAATTTCAGAGTTTTTGTGATCGCCGAATTGTGTTTTCGCCTAGGCGAAATGATGATTTTTTGAAAAAACTGTATTTCACGACCTCACTTTCCGGTCCGCCGGGATGTATATGTGTATGTATATGTATATGTATGTATATCTATATATATATATATACTATATATATATATATACACTATAATATATATATATATGTATAAATATATATATATATATATTAACACATACACATGTGGCTGACTTCCAAAGTATCATCGGGAGCCACAGCCCGAAGGTGCCCATGGACGCTGCTTGGAAGTACCTACAGGAGTTGCTTGGCGCTTGCGGTAGCCGCCTTGCCATCTGGGTATAAACTAACCAGCTGCAAAGTCAGATCCAAAAAGTCGTTGTTTTCTCCTTTTTTGCACGGTTGATGCATGTGTATATATATATATATATATGTGTATAGTTATTTACAATATATACATATGTGAATGTGGCACTGTGGTAACCAGCCAAACAGATCTATGTGTTTTATGTTAATTCGGATGATTTTCATCACTCACATTTGTCATGTCATGAGATAATTGGTTTGTAAGTTTGTCATGGTTTGTCTCAAAATAGGGTACCCCATTCCATCCATCATCCCTCTATCCATTGTATGTTTAAACATTGTTCTACCGATATTCAGATAGCATACTCATTTCATCTCGTTTCTGGGGACACCCAAATTGATACCATCATACACCCAACTGTAGGTGTGTAATATCCACCATGCCAAGAACCTTCGTGAAATCCAGCAACTTACCATACAAACGCCGATTGGCTGGTGATTTTTTTCATCACCTAAAACAATTTAAATTCCTTGGTGAAACCTACATGTTTGAAGGGGAGTGGGTGTAATTCCCCATTTCTTGCAGCTAAATTGGACACCGGGGCCTTTAGAGCCGTCTCGAGGCCCCCACCCCGTTGCGCCATTGGTTGGGCAGCCACCTACTTTGCCCTGGCCGCGCACGAGGTGGATGGGAGCCCTGGTGGTTCAGGATTTCTGGTAACAAAAATTGTGGTTTGAAGCTGGAACATTGTGAAAAGATCAAGCACGGGGATATAATGGTATATGCGGATGGTTTAAAACTGATGCTTCTATAGAATTGGAATACAACGTTACAACGGGATACATGCCCCTAAATGGTGACCACCCCAACAACAGGAGTGTAGTGAGGGCGAATCTTAACCACACTACAAGTCACTACAGGCACTGACTAATACAGGCAAATATGGAGCATCTATTGTTGGGATTTGTTGGGAGGGCTACCTTTGGGGGCATTGATTTTTGATCCCCCTAAACCTAGGCCTGGAATGACCTTGATATATAATGTGTAGCCAGGTCTTGACTTCTCTTGTGGATGTTGTTGATCTACTTATGATTTTCCACCGTCAGGGGATCTACAAACCACCATGAGACCCAAGTGGTGTGGTAAACCCCTTGATCAATTGATGCGGGTAGAAATCAAAACTGAACCAACAAGAAGATGTTGAAAGCCTAGATTCAGGGGTGAACATGGACCCAGAATAAATGGGGATTCCACACCCACACCTCAATCACTATTGCAAAAACGAACACAAATCTGAATTGGTGCTATTTTGTAAGGCAGTGGCCCCCATAGCTAGTAGGTTAACAAATGTGTTTAGGGTAGATACATGTGTATATATATATATATACAATATTGTTTTTTTTGATATTTAGATGTATTATATACATTGTATGTTATAGAATAGGATATCAAATCAATGAAGAATCAACGATATCATATAAACCTATGATATAATACATACAGTATAATGATACAGTATAATGTACTGGAATCTGATGTAATCTAGTATACTATAGTTTAACGTAATTTCGTTAAATATTCTAAGAACTTGGTGGCAAAGGCAAAGGAAAGGGTCGTGGACGTGGAGCCAATAGACCCTGGTCGCCGCAGAAGCCCAAAGGCAATGGCAAGGGAAAACATGGAGGACGTGGCTCAGGCGCCTCGCATCCAGGATACCACACCGATGCTTGGGGTGGCCGTTATGTTGCAGGAGGCTACGTCGATATCTCTGGCCAATTCTGGCCGTTCCTCAGCTGCATTTTCACTTACAACATATAATATATTAATTTTGAAACACACCCAAAAAACTGTAATATAACAAAGTACAATGCGCCTTATGTATACAAACATATTTTATATTCAGTTGGGTTTATAAACCAACCCTACTTGTCAGACATTTTTGGAAACCGTGGATTTTAATGATCATTATATATATATATATGTCAGACGTTTGTGCATCAAATCTTAAATCTCCACCATGAGAAGCTATCACGACAAAACCAAGTGCCACTAAAATCTTCAATCACCATCAAGACATCAGTTTACCCAAATCGTTTGATTGTTTTTGACACTGTTTGTAGATTCTTGTAGGGGTCATACCTATTGAAACATGGTGATAAAAGCCCAAAGAGCCAGAAATCCATGGTTGTTTCTTTTGTTACTGAAGAATTCCTATACAATTTATAATATATATATAATACATATAAGGTGAGGCCCCACCCCCCCAGTTACATTAGTGTACATATCTATTATGAATATATAATATCATGCTAGTTGATTTATAACCCCCATGAATGCTATGGTCTGGTTGGTGGTTTGGCACATTTTTTCCATAATATATAGGGAATCATCATCCCAACTGACTTTCATATTTTTCAGAGGGGTAGGGTTCAACCACCAACCAGATTATGATTCACCATCATTAACCATATAATAACCATTAATATTAACCATATATAAACCATCATTAACAATATATACAATGATATACCATTTTTCACCTCAGTTCGTCAAAAATCCTCCCGTTCCCAGGCCCCCGAGCGCCGAAACGAGCTCCTGCAGCGAGGCGGGAGTTGGCTTCGTGGCTTCGTTCATCCCGGAAAGATGGGAAGAACACAGCGGAGTTCAAATGGATTTCACTAGAAAAAGTATCTACAATATTAAGGGCTTCAACGAATTATTCTACAGTTGACAGTTTCATATATGGAAAAGAATGATTCCATTGAAATGATCAACATATATGGTTTTGTCTGAAAATAGTTTTGGTCACAGTTTTTGATGCCTGAAAAGCACCGAATCTTCCCTACTCAAATGGCGGTATCCCCGATTTCTAGACACAGTCACTTGGATAAACATGGGGATTTCACTACAACAAGTTGGATGGAAAACTGGTAATGTTGCTGCATAAGACCCATCTATTGCGGCAAAAAATGATGTATTTTTTCACTAGACGTCCTCCTCTTTTCAAGCCAAGAACCCTATACCCAAGGCCGTCAGTACGGGCTCTCCACCAGAAAATGTCCATGTTTCATCCTGCCATGCCATGGGTGCGGTGCCTTGAGGGGAGCCGGGGAGCCCTTCCTCGGTAGGACGACAAGGATGGTGTGACATTTGTGAGCGCACCAAGTGTAGAATAAAAAGATCCTCTGTTTGAAGGGATCTATAGATATTATACAGTAGATGGATTTAGATGATCCAAATGGATCTAGATGGGTAAGATTCGCCCTGATTCTTGTGAGTAGGATTCCCCCCCACTTTCTTCGCTTCGCCAGCACCTGGGCAAAATGGCCAGGCCAGGAGACATTGTTGGAATGGCCATCGCCCCCTGACGTTGGAATGGCCGACGGTTTCTGGAGTTCTGGATGGGTAGGTTTCAAGAACCAAAAAACGTTGGAAAAAACGCATACAATACAACCAGCAACGTGCTGATGAATTTGGTTAATAAACTGCTTGGTGAAATGGTAGTTTACTGTAATTTCATGGTTTCATATGTTGCCGCAATGGGGATATAAACTAACTATAACTAACTAGCATCAGATCATTTTTTGCTGGACGTTGGCGATGTATTTGCGACGTCCTTGGCAGCACAAGAGATGCATCGTCAACTGCAAGGCTCCTGTGAATTTTGTGAACAGCCAACACTGATGCTCCGCGACTCTGACAGGATACAGTTGAAGGATCTTGCCTTGTACAATCCGAAGGGCCGGTTGGCTCTGACAGTTACGCACCGCTTCGAAGAGATGTTGCACGTCTATTCCAAACTCGGCAAACGAAGAGGAGGTGAATTTCGGAAAGATCGCTGCCTTTCTGACTACTGCTTGCATATCATCGTATCACCCGAGCAAGCTATTCTTGCTAGGGCTCGGTGAAACAATCTTTCTCCAGCACGTGCCATTGCTGGACGAAAGAATTGCATCACCGAGGACTTCACAGATAGCAGGCATTTCATCGCTCCGAAGAAAAATACCCTCTGTAAACTATCATAACTATGGAAAGATCCACCATTTTTAATGGGAAAGTCAACTATTTCAATGGCCATGTTCAATAGCTATGTTAGTCATTACCAGAGGGTGAGTCATTATTATTGAGTATACTGGGATATACCATCTCTTTCCACATCTTTGTTAATTTACCCTACCAATAGATACCAGAGGGTAAATGGTTTGCACGGTAGAATGCATCGCTCCAGCATCATTTTGACTCGCCGCCGAGCAGCGCAACTTGAAAGCGGTATGTTGTTGACACTGATTGCTCTACACGCTGGTCATTGTCGTTAGATGATTTGGGGTGTGTATACATTGCAAATACAATACCCCCAAATCTATATAATACTTAGCTTACAGATGTTTAAAATATGTTAACATATTATCATGTTTTCTTTAATGTTTTTTTTTGGGGCTATGCCCTATAGTGCCAGAAGCACCCATTCGGTGTTGGATAGTTGAAGCAGCTGGGTCTCTCGATTTTCAAAATCGACCCCCTCAACCACCGGTTTTACGGTAAGTTCATGTGTGTAGTAGGTTGAGTACCCCAACGGTTTCTGAATGGAGTTTTTGTTTGCACAAATATCATGTGAAATCTACGCCATACTAAACCATCCACTTGGAAAAAACTGAGGACCTCTAAACCTATGGCTTTCCATCTTATGACCGAAAAATGGGGACCTTCTTTCTATCTTTGGGGTCTAACCTGTCTCAAGACCCGAAGCCTTCAGCAAATCCCATGGTCTCTCTGCTCTTGCAGTTTGTGTCAGTTGAATAGTCCCTTTTTGTGCTGGTCACATCTCATTTGTTGTTGCTTAAATCAAAATATTTGTCATTTGGTCGTTTGTATCCTGTGTCTTGTTGGTTCATTCCACATGTTTGTTGGCAAACAATCTCAATTTTGATTGCATTGTGTGTTGGTTTATTACCATTTTCTTTTAGTGATGTATCGCAGCAAAACCCACTTTCATGTATTTTGTGAAATCCAATGTTGGTCGTTCAAAATCACATTCTTTTGGTGGAACCCCTCACATTTTTGTTCTTTAAAGCATCGCTTTGAATGGTTGTACCATTATACCATAATTACCTGTTTTGATTGTAATGAACTTATAGCACATACCACAAATTATATCCACACATTATATCAAATTGTACCATTGAAAAACATATTTGTACCGTACCACAATTATTTATGTTGATTTTGTTGAACCCCCATTCCATGGCCACGTTTGATTCCCGGGGGTAAGCCCCTATAAAATCAGAGTTGGTCTGTAGGAAATCACCATCAATGTCATCCAAACGATGGTTATATCCCTACAAAGTCCTATGATTCATCAGGGTATCCATATTCCCTGTTAAATGGGAAGCCAAAGAGCTACTGAGAGTTTTCCAAGCAACCACTTACTAACAAAGAGTTTTCGTCCCCATTGAGTCCATAGTGTTGATGGTTAAATCATGTTAAATCCCAATAAAATCCTATTGTCGATGCCTAAATCCCATGAAATTCCCATTAAATCCCATGAAATCCCATTAATTCCCGTTAAATGATGCTTAAAAAACAACGGTTCCGAGGCTGCAGCGTTCCCTCTACGCCCTGCTGACGACACGCTGGCCTCTGTGGCACTCGCTGGAGCGGTTGAGAAACGCGTCTGGAGTGCAGACGGTCTACGTGAAGCAGCTTGAAGGTGCCAATGGCGGTGCCCCATAGTTAAGTTGGTGTATATCTGGTAGAGGTTTTGTGTAATGTATGATGCTGTGTATATAATTATGATATATTATGATTATATATAACTAAATTATGTATAGTTAATTATGAATTAATTATATATATATATATACACACAGTGTATATATATATATATATACAGTTCATGGTTCATGGGATCTATAAACAAACAGAACTGGGGATACAAGGGTAAACCACTTGTCTAAACCCCTGGTCTTGGCGCTCTCCAAGCCCCACTTGACGCAGGGCAATCGGTGGACTTGGACGTGGTCTTCTGCGGTAACGGCGTGGAGGGGCTGCAACAGACTTTGCGTAACATGGCTGGTGGGAGTTGCACCTGGAATCTCTGGAATTTCACAGCCAAAGATGGGATTTTTTGCGGATTTCACTGGCCAAGACTGAGGATTAAGGCAGGCAAGATGGACATTCACCCAACAAAAATGAGGATTTAACCGGCAAAAAATTGAATTTAATCCAACCGATTCACGATGATTTCAGCAGCAAAGACAGAAATATCACCAGCAAAGATGCATACAATTAGATTTTAGGGAAAGAACATGAGCAGGCATATAGCCAGAAACGGTGATAGTCGGCCAACGTAGAAATTTAAACAAACAGCAAAACATGTGCTATGTCCTTCGGTATGTTTGAGTAGAGAAGCAGCATTCAGAAGCAAGATTGGTTTCTTGTCAGCTTTTCCCGAGATTCGAACAACGCCATATTCTTGGTTGTAAACTCCACCATATCCATTCATATCATATCCCAAGTATACCCTCATGGTCACCCGGGCAAGACAAGGCGGCTGGTGCGAGCGAAAGGGTTGGCGCCTGCATTTTCTCCGTGCGGATCTAGCTGCATGCCCCAGCTTCTATCAGAGCATCAGCGGCTTGGAGAGATTTTGGGTTCTGTTGATTTACCATCTGGTAAACATACAAAAAACTATGGAAAATCACTATTTTTAATGGGTAAAACCACTGTTTCTATGGCCATTTTCAATAGCTATGTTAGTTTACCTGTTGATTTACATTTTTGGCATGTGGAGGTTTCCATAGCGGGGGATCCCCAATAGCTGGATGGTTTGTAGTGGAAAATTCTAAGAAAAAATGGATGATTTGGGGGTACCACCATTTTAGGAAACCATCATGTGTGTTTCGCAAGCTGCAAAACATATAGAAGTGGTACATCCAGGATCCATGTTTTGTCATAATTCTCCTCTCAAAAATCGGTCGCACATCACATAAATGTGGGGATCCGCAATGCCTCCGCATCTCAGGATCTTACAAAAAACAGTCAAAAGGGGGGCTACAAAGAAATTATCCCGTTTTTTATTTCCCAGGGTGCATTGCATTTGAGCAATGTAAGTTTGAAGCTATTGGAGAATCCCCAGTTTGCCTCCCATTTGTTGGTTGGTTTTCATAGGATCATCCTCAAGAAAATCAATGCCAAATCCTACTTGCAAAATTGGAAAGCATATCACACACCATCCCTCTTGCTACGCCATTTGGCGTTTATTCTTGGTCTTCCTACAATCAATCAGTTTCTGCTTGCCTCGGATATGTTTGGGAACATGTTTTGGCAAACATGGACCTCACAAATGGACACATGTTGTAGGTAGCTCCAACTTGGGCAATTAATTGCTTGAAACACAGACACACATAATTATGGTAGGTACACCAAACTTAGGAGTTACTTGACATGTCCTACGATACATAAGTTAGGTACAAAAAGTTACTCAGGTAATCTCAGGTACATAATGGTTCCAACTTAGGTACATGATTGCTTAGATACACGGTGGTGCCCCAGCAAAACCATGTGGGTTTTAGAGACCCATTGAGCGACCACCTTCCAGGAACCTTGGTTAGCCATCATTGTCCCAGTTCAAAACGCAGGTATCCCTGGTATCCCGAAAAAAAAAATGCACACAAAAAACGATCATTCATCAAGCTTTCCCATCCTATGATTCTCACCATGTGGATTTAGGTTAAATCCCTATTTTCTATAAAATGAATTACCCTCTGGTTATGACTAACAGTTCGCCATGGTATAGATGGCCCATAGAAATAGATGGCTTACCTATTATAAATGGTGATTTTCCTTGGCTATGTTAAATAACCAGAGGGTAATTTTCGATATAAACCCAAAGGGTAATTTCACATAATTCACATAGCTACTTGGTGGCTCATCCCACTTAGTAAGTGGGTTATAACCCCAGTTATAAATGGGATAAGTAGGGTTAATCCACTTATAATTGGGGTTATAACTCACTTACTAAGTGGGATGAACCACCAAGTATGGAAACCATGGCCCCTGCTCAGGTCTCCCCAACTCCGGCCATGTCTTGATGCTATCGCCCTTGCTCTGGTGTCTCAACTGGGGCTGGGCTGGAACGATGATGTGTTGGACTTGTAGTGGGGCACTTGCAAGATCTCGCAAGCACTTTAGAACTGGGGCGTGATATCCCTGACACTTGTTTTTTGGCCACGAAACCAATTCTGTACTCTTTGAAGATTGTTGCAGTCCTTAACCACATGTGTGGCAGTTTTCTGTTTCAACAGTTTTTCTTTTTTTGCCTGTTGGATTATGTTGGGTTTAGCCGAACAGATTTTACTTCTGGGGTGTACTGATGTTTATTCTGATTCATGGGCCTTTACTGATGGACTTAATTGCATCACAATCACATACACCTTTTTGGCAACACCCCCCGAATTAAGAAGTTGGTCAAATCCAATCCCAGAATATTGTACAGTATATATACTTATATATGCATATATCTACCTATATGTATGTATATATATATATAACATATACATATTACATGTCTATATCATTTCTATGAGTATGAAACTGAAGATCTCTAGATCTTGAACATCCTTAAACATGTATACTGTTTTGAAGACGACATTTCTATGACACTTCGACATGTCCACCCGGGCGTGGACGCCGTGGAGGTCCATGGAGGCCGTGGAAGCTGCAGTGGATGCTTTGCCGCTTGGGCGATGCCATCATCGTTAGATCAGTTTACAGTACATAGTATTGGTTATATGGATATAATGAAGCACTTTATCAGTCTACTAATGTCCATAGTCATTTTATGTATAGATATATACCGTATTAGTTTACTAATGACTTAGACTTAGTTGGTATATGGATGTATATGGTGAAGAAATACTAAGAAATACTAAGTTAATCATCCAGACAATTTTAAGGCCTACTGTGGATGGTTAAGAAATCCTGCACCATTTGGTATATGGTTTGTCCCCTGATAATCCCATCATGTAGGGTGTTCTTCTATCTGCAGGTGATGTATGATGACTTGGGGATCCCCCATTTTGCGACACCCCAAGTCAAGAATGATAACAATAACAAGACTGACCATAGTAGTAGCATTAATAATCAGAACGACAATAATAATAACGATGATCAACTAAAACCGATCATGATGATACTAATTATTGATAGTCATTGTGACAAAAAAGGTAATGTGTTTCGGTTTGCTGGAAACTATCTATATCTGTTGTGTAGATATAATCAGCAATTGTCGATAACAATATGATAAGGGCAATGTGATATAAGATGATATACTATGATACAATAGTATATATATATACATGTACAATGTATAGTATATATTCTATATATTTGAGATAATTTTGATATAACACAACGTATAGTACAGTATATTATAGTATAGTATAGTTTAGTTAATTATAGTATAATATAATATATATCATGTTATAATATAATTTAATATCATATAATATCATATAATATAAAAACACAATATCATATAATATCATATAATATCATTTAATATCATTTAATATCATATAATGTCATATAATATTGTATAATATCATTTAATATCATATATAATATTATATATAATTTAATACCATATATACTATTATAATATAATATTATATTATAATATAATATAATATAATATCATGAAAATTAATATAGTATAATAATACAATATAATTTAATATAATACGATATAATACAATATAATACAATATAATATAATACATATATATATATATTAACTCATTTTTTTTAATACAATATAATATACTGTAATATAATGTAATATAATGTAATATATAATATAGTTTAGTATAACATAATATAATATAATTTCATATCATATAATATAATATATTATAATATAGTTTATTTTAATATAATATAATATAATATGAAATAATATGATATAATATATATAGCGTAGTATCGCAAAATATCAAGTCTATATACATATATTATCATATATATATACCCTGAGGATCTCTGACAGCAAATAGGCTCTGGTGCATCGGAGCAGAACTTGACATTTCTTCTCTCAAGGCCACGTGTCGCACTCTTCGACAGTGCGTGAGTTCCTCTTGCTGGATGGGGCAGTCGGACCCTTACACAGAAGACAGCGGACCTTGCCCGCTGCAGAATCGTGGTAAGGGCATCCGCACTCAATTCAGGCATTTATGCACCGACCTCTTCCTTAGATGGATTGAGGTGTCCTGGCGTCGGTCATTGAGGATTTGAGCCTCCTCACAGCGGACGTGAGCGCTGCATTTATGAACGCTCCGGTTGAGTCAGATGCGTGCGATCTGGTCCTTATGCCTCCCAACATGACCATTGGTGGTTTGAAGGTCATTGTCTTGTTGTACAAGGCAATGAACGGTTTGCGAAGGGCACCCTTACTTTGGTTTTTGGAGCTCCAGAAAACGGTGTTGGAAGTGGGTGGACAAGAGACGTTCGAAAGCACGCTGTTTCGAATTTCCACCCAGAAAGAATTCATCCCCTTGTCTTGGTATAAGTGGATGATCTCTTAGTTGCATCCCATGATGAAAGAGAAGGAGCAGACTTCTTTCAGAAGCTCATTGGGATTTGGAAGATCAAGCTCACGCGTAAAATCCCAGGACGACACCACGGCCCCAGACAGGACCGTGCTCTGGTCTTTAAAGAGCAGTGCTTGGCAATTATTTTGGGCAAGAAGAGGTTGGAATTGCACGGGCAGAAGTTCAGTGTGGACGTCTCTGGTTGGAAATGATCTACATCTTTTGTATAGATGTAACAAACCATTGCCGATAACAATAGAACTATTGTACTGTAATATTAGTAATACTATTTACTATGATAATATATATATATATTTATATTCATACATGTATATACATTTATTTATTTGAAAAAGGAAATAGAATTCGATATAACCAATCATTTAGTATAGTACAGTATACAATAATTCAACATTTAACGTAGTATATCATAATATAAAGCTATATATATATATTTATATATATATATATATTTATATATATATATATGTATTTATATTTATATATATACATATCATTACAATATGTACATATTATATTCTGTTTTGGCAAGAACTTTTGCGAGCAATTCATACCCAGCCATTAGATTATTACATGTCTGTTTGTGCAAAAAGGAACCCCCCCCCAATTCACATGGAATGTCATCATTTTCCTCAAAAGATATGGCGGCTTTGGGTTATACCCAATTTTGGAATTCTCCACGCCGTTGGACTGTGACCTTGCTGTAAGGAACTTCTCTCTATTCGATGAAGCCGATGTACTGGGGTGACTTGACTTTCGGCAGGATGTGAGTGGGTTTATCATTAGCATACACCACTGGATTTTGTGTTTTCTAAGCATGTTCAAACGCAATCATTTCACATTTTTTCGCCCGTGACCTACAACATCACTTATAAACCTGTGTTGTATTAATTTTCACCCTCAGACATTACCTATATTATAAATTGCCCAAGACCGACAGGTTGGTTTCTCTTCCGGATGTGTGCATCGACACCACCTTATAGTTGGTCTTCTTGCCTTTTGTGAAACTTTGGCGGCCCACACAGACGCAAACTGGTGAGGAAAAACTATCATTTTGGATTCACCAGAACACCTGAAGAATTATGAGATGCCAATGATGAAGAAATACAATGGTGCAAACTCCATGTTTCCCAGATATACCCAAAATATGTTTAGTCTCTCCATGCTTATTGGATGGTTTGAGGAAGAACAAAATCCCATCCAAAAAGGATATCCCCCGAGATGTGAGCGATATGACCCAGAAATGAAGATCCATTATTTCCCGTGTTTGTTTATGTTTGTTCTCACCTATTGTTCTGTACTATGACCACTTCTTGATGATTTTTTTTTAGACATGTTGCAAGATATAGACATTATTAGGGTTTATGTAGGGTTTTAGGGTTCATATCCCATGCAGTGGGCCCTTTGAAAGGACCTTTAGTGGGCAGGGATAACATCACCTCGAGCACTCGGAGAATCTCCGGTGCTCATCCCATAAATTCCTCTGGATTTCACTGTGCTACTGAAATCTTTCCCTCTGGTACATTAACATAACTATGGAAAATCACAATTTTTAATGGGAAAACTCACTATAAATGGCCATTTTCAATAGCTATGTTAGTTTACCAGAGGGTAAACGGTTTTGTCTAAGAATGTGTTATACCCCCCAAATGGCATTTTAGTTAGCATAATTAGCCAATGGATTTATGGGTAGTTTCAGGCAAATCCAAATTATCCGAATTTTTGTCGGTGACTCACGGCCATTTCCTGCAGTACCAAGACTCCAGCACTGAACGTTGATGGTTAGTCAGTCAACTGTTCAGTACTGGGGTACTGAGAACATAAGTTGTATAATTAGCTGGGAGTATAGTTTCAATAATTTAATCATACATAATCGTACATATACATGCATGCATGCATACATACATACATTACATTACATTACATTGCATTGCATTGCATTGCATTGCATTGCATTGCATTACATACATTACATTACATTACATTACATTACATTACATTACATTACATTACATTACATTACATTACATTACATACATACATACGCATATGTATGTTTATACACAGCTTTAATAAGTGTCCAACTTCCCCATGGATTTCCAATCCAAAACATCACCGACCGGTCAGGTCATCCCTACCTGATCTACCAAGTAGATAGGAAAATCACATCAGGCTAAAATTATGTTTTTATTTTTATTTTTTATGTTTGTCAGGGCGCTATATGTGTGTGTGTGTGTGTGTCCGCCCCCATTGTTTTCCTTGATTTATATGCGTCGTCTTAAGCCGAAGGTTCATGTCAGCAAAAGGTATCCTCAAGCACAAACAGCATTCAAAATCATCCTGAACATTGCTGATTTTTGTACTCACTTCCAAAGACCATGTGGGTTCGTCTGAACATAAGGTACTCTACCCCGTTCCGTCCACTGTTTTAATCATCATGTTCCCATTCAAAATGCCCGCAAGTTGGTGGCCTACAATGGTATACCTCATTTTTGACCAATCCAAATCCACTCCTCATTGCCTAATTCCTTGTTTTTCATCGTTGAATTTGAATATGTAATCAAATCCCATTTTTGGGTTGCCAAAACATAGTGAGACTCCATATTATTTGCTGAAATCCGCGGGTGTAAATCACGCGTCACGTCCCTCCAGGTTCCCGACGCTCGACGCCACACTGCTTTGGACCTTCGCCGTGCAACGCATCCGTCGGAGTCCTTGGAGTGTGCGCTATGAAGCCTTTCCCACAGGCGCCGGGGGATCTTCGAAAATCAATATATCAAACTTGAGGATCATCGAATCATGATTATAAATATATGTATATATATATATAGTTATATATACAAACATACTATATAACCATGAATGATCTAAATATCCAGTTTTCACTTCAACTGGTTTTGTTTGCCTTCAACAAAAAATGATTTTAGGAGGACAGTGAATAAATATGTTGCGGAGACCGAGGGGATCGGAGACAAAAGCTGCTGAAGTTGTCAGTTGTACCTCTGTAAATTTGGGGTAAACCACTATTTCAATCAATATTTAAAGTTTCATTCACCCTTGTAAAGGGGGAAACTCAGATAGATAATGATAAATACATTACATTACATGTCCTTATTTGGTGAGATCTACATGTTGGTTTTGTACATGATGTTCATTTCTCTTTGTTGGAGGTCATTTGTTTCTGTTGAAAAAGGGGATGTGAACTCTCTAGAAACTTCCGCGCGGAGGCTATGAGGAAACCTTGAAGGACAGCCGATAGCTGCGGAATGGCCTTGGAGTGGTTTATCCCATTATTTATAGGGTTTCAACCATCCAAGGTGATGCAGGATTTCTTCCATCCACAGTATGTCTATGGATGTCTATGGTAGCTTCGAACTGCTACAGTTAAAGCCCTGAAAACCAGTCATGAATGGTTAAATCATCAATGGGAATTCCAGGATCCTAAAATGATAAAATGGAGGTACATGAGTACCATAATTTTTGGCCATATGAATTGGGGTTATATTCCCTTACATAAGCCTTACATAGGACATAGGCCTCATATATGGTAGGTACCTCCAATTTGGGGCCATTGATATGACAGAAGTATAGATGGTCTCGTTTCAGCTGTATTGACAACCATATTCTTTGGGATTTTGTAAGCATTTAACCATCAACAAGAGGGACTTGATATGATTCAGATTGCAACTTGAGGCAGTGAACGATAGATTATGTATATATGATTATGGGGTGTCCGAAAATGGGGTTCACCCCAATTTATGGTCATTTAATGGGGAGAATAGTGTACCAGTCGATGGAATGAGCTACTCCCCTATTCTAGACAAACCCACGTGAAAACCAACCATGAAAACCGGGGTTGATCCAAATATTAGGGCTATCTTCATTGTTTGACAAATTATCTCATCCCATGATAGAAAAGTGGGACCTGGACCAAAGGAGCCGGATCGGCAAGGACCTCGTGCCTACGCCTGTATGAGATGTTGACAAAGACGGATTTCCGTTTGAGGTATGGATTGACGCAGGCAGAAGAAGCTCTTCGTGCAGTTCACCTGAAACTGGGACACTATGCCGAAGCAATTACAGGGACCGCCCGTTGTCTCGCCCGCCTCGAGACACTGGTCTACGTCCTCGACTCGGCACTGCAGGCCTGTGAAGAGCAAAGACAAAAACTTCCCTTCGCACCGGTGGTGGCTCGCCGTGCGGCAAAACCGCGTCCTGGACGGAGGACAGGCGGCATCAGCTCTGGCAGCTTCAAGAGGAAACCTTTGTCCAAACCCGGCCTCAAACGGAAGATCCTCTCGAACAACAAGGACGACCAGACCAAAAAGATCCGATCACTGGAGGATCGCCTGATATTTTTAACCTCATCTAAAACCTCCTGGAAAGGATTTCATTGTTTCTTGGGGGAATGGTTACACGAACTGATCCAATGCGTAACCCACCTATGGCCATTGAATTGCCAACATGTTCACATGATTTTGCGACACTCCTGTAATTTGAATGATCGCATGTATATTAAGGTATATGTGTTTTTACATATAACATATTACAAAATACATTCACATATACATATACATAAATTTTTATTTTTTGCATATATATATATATATACATATTTGGTTGGTGGTTTGGAACATTTTTCCATAGATTGTGATTGGGAATGTCATCATCCCAACTGACGAATTCCATCATTTTTCAGAGAGGTGGCTCAACCACCCACGCTGCTCCGGTGAGGACCGCTGCTTCCGCGCGGATGCCACCTCCATGAGTCGCGCCTTTCAAAGTGCAACGTGGCAACGCCTGGTGCAGCGACTGAGGTGCAGAGCTGGGAGGATTCATCGATGATGATGTTTTAGATCATAGTTTAAATTATATATATATACAGTGAGGATTATGATGATGACAATGACGATGACGATGATGATGATGATGATGATAGCGACTTTTTTGGTAGTCTTTTCATGTTGATCGGACTAAAATGTGGAACTATATAGTAAAAACAACTAGTTCAAAACATTAGTTCAACATTATAATGTTGATTTCATAATATATACATGTTTTGAACTATGATGAGGATATGCTTGGTGATCATTAATATTATCAAGGTCAGTAATTAATGTCGTTTAAAACATGTTAAAACAATGATTGTTTTTTAGATAATGTAATTACATTTATAAATATGTTGATTGTTTATAATATTCATCTATATATAAACATCAATTATTATTGTTTGTTTTTGATAACAATGGTAGTATTATATAATGATGGGATATGATTCTAAGATTGGATGTTAATATGATTTAATGATGGAATAGTTGAGAATCATATGATTCGTATGTGTTTTTCAATGATAACATTATTGGAAACATAGTTGGATGACATGATCATAGAATGGGCATATAATGGTGAACATTAGTTTGTGGCTTTGTGCGATAAGGTTTGGCACGGTGACGTCCAATGTTTTGTTGTTTGCTCGCAGAGATGTCGCTCCGTGATCCCAGCATGGGTTTGACTGGTGGTGACCCCATTCCGAAGATGTCTCGGGTTTGGTGGTCGAGAAAAAAAAATCTTTGAGAATTGTGCTTGCAGACTTTGATTGCCTGCTGCTGGCCCTGGTGTGAGATTGCCCCTGTTTATTTTGTTGATAAACGTGTCGTGACGGGTGTCATTTTGGCTTCTGACCGCCCGGCGACAGACGGTGATGTCTGCCACACTCACCTTTATGCTGGTGAACCTGTTCCATTCCCATTTCATGCAGTTGCCATGGTTTTGATTACCAGCGGGTATTTACTGTATCAGAATGGTAGTAAGCAAAATTTAATTATCTAGAATGGTTCTGGAATGATCCCAACAAATACTCATCACACGGAACACTTGTGACCATAATAATTGTTTGTTAAATATTCCTTGATGGTATAAATGATGATATGAATCATATTGTTCATCCTATTGGTGATTCATCGCATGGGTAGAACGATAGGGGTTTGATAATCATTTCACGGGGATTTGTTAGGCATGTAATTTATTTAACTCTTAACAATAGCGACTTGACTATCTGGACACACATGAAATTGAACACATCCTTTATCTTTGGGGAATACATGAGATGAAGGGAAGTTAAGGAATGATCAATGATTGTTCATAAGGATGGTTATAACCAAACATGATAGAATTAAATCGGGTCAGAATTGTAATACGGGTATACTAAACATGATACTGCAGGTAAATGTTGTATATAAGGGATGACAACATGAGCGCATAATCTGGAGCACAGCGATATGAATTTGGAGGTTAGATAAGGTTAGTATATAACAAATTCATCCCATTCCAATTTGGTTTGTAAGGTTAGTAAGGTTAGTATGTGACTGGTTACTAACTCTTCTGGTTCCTCTGCAAACGCCCGGATTTTTTTTGTGTGATTGGTTAGCATAGGATACATTGTATTAATTATGTTTAATTGCATGGAACAATAGTGAGTCATTTGACCCACAGAAATTGACAGGTTTAACCATGTGGTTCAAGCATGGTTATAGTTACATAACCAATTCATTACCAATTCCAAATATTTATTGATGGGTTGTAATGTCATCCCCGGATCATACAAATTTCCCCAAATTATATAGATCCCTTGAAATGAGTCAGATCCAAAAGTGACTAAACCAGGTGCTAGCTGCTATTCGATATTTTGGGGGAAGGGATGATTCTGAGATATTCTGAGTAGGGACCTGTCCGAATTACCGAGTGCCACACATGGGATAGTTTAATAAGTCTACTTGGTGGCTCATCCCACTTAGTAAGTGGGTTATAACCCCAGTTATAAATGGGATAAGTAGGGTTAATCCACTTATAATTGGGGTTATAACTCACTTACTAAGTGGGATGAACCACCAAGTAGCAATTTAAAACCTTTGGATACTTGGTAGGTACACTACACGGTTTGGTAAATGTCCCATGGCTGTGGGATTTGTTTCACATCACCAAAACAAGTATCATATTATATCCCCAATTAATTTATAGGAACATATCATATTATATCATATTATATCATATTATATCGTATTATATCGTATTATATCATATTATATCATATTATATCATATTATATCGTATTATATCGTATTATATCATATTATATCGTATTATATCATATTATATCATATTATATCATATTATATCGTATTATATCATATTATATATATCATATTATATCATATTATATCGTATTATATCATATTATATCATATTATATCGTATTATATCATATTATATCATATTATATCGTATTATATCATATTATATAATATTATATCGTATTATATCGTATTATATCATATTATATAATATTATATCATATTATATCGTATTATATCATATTATATCATATTATATCATATTATATCGTATTATATCATATTATATCATATTATATCATATTATATCGTATTATATCATATTATATCGTATTATATCATATTATATAATATTATATCATATTATATCGTATTATATCATATTATATAATATTATATCATATTATATCGTATTATATCATATTATATCGTATTATATCATATTATATCATATTATATCGTATTATATCATATTATATAATATTATATCATATTATATCGTATTATATCATATTATATCCCCATTTTATCTCCCATATTATTAAAGATTCTTTCATATCATATTATGTGAAACACATCCAGGACATAGAAACCAAGCCCTGCGATCCCATGATCCTCCCGGACGTTGTTCAGCCGGCGGTTTTTGAACGGCGATGGCAACTGTCCGTTTTGTTGTGCTAACGGTTAAAAATCGCACGTGTTTAGTTTCCTTCATGATGTTGTTTGTTTCTTATATGATTTTGATTCAATTAATATGTTCATTGAATGCATTTTCTTGTTTATTTGCTGTATGTTCCCTCTATATGTTTGTTTGTTTAGTTATTTCTTGCATTCTTGTTGCTTCTGCCCATGTTGATCCCTTCGGCCCCGGTTCAAGTGGGGACATTCCCCTTTCAGCAGGCCATCGCAAGGCGTGGGCAAGGTTGAAGAGGAAATGGCCTGGTTTGCTGCTCGGCGAAGGGCCTGATTTGTTGAACAGAGTAGCCCATCTTTTTATTTTTTGGACAAGAAAGTAGCTCTAAATAAGGAACCATTGATTTATATCAAATGAGGTACCTCCAAATCCATTTTGAAGGATTTGTTCAGCATCAACATTGAGATTTTACCACATCAACCTGTGGCGGTGAACTCTGGACACCGATAACTTGGTGCGTCGGAAAATGGGGTGAAAAAAACAGCCCAAATGTATCCGAAATTATGTCCAGTTTAGTGTGGAAAGCTATGCTTATCCAATAGGCTTCGGATACATTATTTTCAATCAAACCCAAATCAGGCGTTTTGCAGGGTGAATCTACGACTAAGACGACTCATTCACTCAGCGAATGACCCTCCCACGGATCGGAAGTGTTGCTTTTTTCATCATTCCCAGATGCTCTATGTATATTTAGCATTATTTAGCTACATTTGGGTGATTTTTGAGGTGCAAGTGTTGATAAACTTTCCATACATGGAGCACATGGGATTGATACATGCGCCAGGTGAGGGGAAGTTCCCAACCATGGTCAGCCAAGTTGTTGGATGAGCAACGCATGGATTGATTGGAGGGGAAAGGCCTACGATGGCCTACGGTATTTGGGGCTGTCCAAAAATGGGGTATCCCATGGTATACCCTCTGGTAAACTAACAGTTTGCTATTGAAAATGGCTATTGAAAAAATGAGTTTTCCCATTAATAGCATGGTGGATATTTCCATAGTCATGTGGCTGTTTACCAGGGTATACCCATAAAATGTCAGCGACAATGCTTGACTCGTGGAATCTCATGGGTTTTCTGGGCTTTCCGGGATGCTCAAGGTCGAGCATCGCTTGGCAGAAACAGATGTACCCGACCTGGTTATGACGTTCACAGTTTGCCATGGTTAAGCCATGGCCCTAATCGAAAAAGATGGTTTACCGTTCTTAAAAATGGTGGATCTTTCCATGGCAAACTGTTAGTCATAACCAGATGGTAGAACAAAATCAAGAGCTCAAGTGAGATTTGACAGAGTTTATCTCCGAATGGTGGGTGTCCAGTGTGGCAGATCGCTATTTCATCTCCCAGTTAAATTCTGTCCGGACCGCCATGGACCATGGAGGCAGTTTCCTGGCAAGTGTCAGGGAACTCGAGGGAAGCCAACACGTCAGCCAAATCGATCTACAACAAGATCTTAGCTGCGTGTCAGTCCCACGTGGAGGAGTTGAAACAGATGAGGACAGAGTCCAAGTCTCAGCAAGAAGAACTTATCAAGGCTTTGAAGGCCTTGGCCACGGCAGTGGTCGGCACAGGGGTTAATGTGAGGGATTACATAACTGGGACATTGTAGACATTTGTAGACTGAAGTGCTCATGCTGGGAGACCTGACAATTTTTGCGAAGGGTTTGCACCATGTGATCGTGGGGCTCGGAAAACTGCTTGGTTGCACTTTCCATTGGATGGTTTGGGTTACCAAGAACTTGAGCCTTTTAATTTGGTTCCATTCCCTGCCGTTCTCGTGCAACGGCAGTTATGAGGGTTCCAAGAAGAATCAAGTTGAAGTGTGTTTCCCCACTACAACTACGGTGTTTTGATGTGTGTGTTTTTTTGTGATGTTTGTACATGTCCATCCTGCCGTAGGAGTTCCATACTTTTTCCATGAAATCCCAAAAATTCAAGGAATCGGGACAATCATAGCCTCGTTCCCAGTGACGATCGCTTCACTTAGGTTGATCTCGATCTGGAAATCCTCGCGGCGCGCTTGCGAGTGCACCTCGGTTTCCTGGAAAATCCTGGACAATTTGGAGAAAGATCAATGGGAATTTCAGGATCCTAAAATGGAGGTACTGTACCATATAAGGCCATATTTTCTGGGGATATCCCCTTACATAGGCCTGAACAATAGGCCTTATATATGGAATCGGTACCTCCAATCAATCGGATCCTGGAATGGCCATTGAAAAGAGCTAAGTCATGAATCTGGTGATTTCTTATGACTTTCTTAAGACCCTTTTTGGATTTTTTGGTATATCCCATTTGGGGTCCAGGATAGGATTGGACAAGCTGTAGTGACCTTGTTATTTCGCACATGGATCCTTTGGGAAGCCACGCCAGGAATGATTCCCCGGTGGGATGAGGCCAGAATAATCTGGAACAAACGGACGTGTATTCTAAGACCATGTTTTACTCGTACTATAAATATAGGATAATATCCGTTGGGGGTATCAACTGACCTATATTATCCTATATCTATAGTTTTAGTATAACTCAGTATGAATATAGGCATTTACTGAGTCATATGATCAGTTGAAGGGGTATCTACTCTTGGGCTTGCGCTGGCTTGCACTTGCTTGTTTCAGGACAGGCGTTGCGGCCTTGCTTAGTTCGTTCCGCTGAAACAACTGTGATGGCAGATCGGACAACACTGACCGTGATAAGTCATGATGCTGTGGATGGAAGAAATCCTGCACCAGTTGCCAGTTGATAACTATTGGTGACAATGAAACACTATAAACCATGGGATTAGAACCGGATAAACCATCTATCTACCAACTGGTGCAGTATTCCTTATTCCTTCCATCCACAGTAATTATATAAGTCTACATATTGTCAAGATAATTAGCTACTTGAACATCTACTGGAAACTCCTGAGGATATTTGGATGCCACCCACGGTTTCCTCTCTTCATTGTCCATTTCAGTGCAGTCGATGGTCGCTACTCGATGGTCGATCCTCGCTGCTACCGGTAGCTTCACTACCAGGGGAACCTGGCTTCTAAGGTTTCCCTGAAATTCACGGAAACAGTCAGGTTCTTAGTAGGGAATGGGGGAATGATCTAGAAAATAGCCATTCATAATAGTACTATAATCATCCCATTCCTCCATTCCCTACTAACTAAGCACCAGTCAGTCATGGGCTGAGATTCTCGAAAAACATGGAAACTGGTTGGTGGTTTGGAACATGTTTTATTGAGAATAATACTCCCATTTCTTGGAAAATCCTGGGCAATTTGCAGAGCAAAGTCATGAATCTGGTGGTTTCTTACGACCTTTTTTGGATCTTTTTGGTATATCCCATTTGATGGCCCCCCGTGGATAGGCAAATATATCCCATCAGAAGGGTAGGTCAACCACCAACCAGTTGATTTATGATTGCTAAGTTGCTTCAGAACCTAGTAACCTAGTATTTCACTCGGGTTTCACTAGGTGTTTATGGTGGATATATCTATGGTCAATGGGGGTTATGATGGGTTGAAACCAGCCAGGTACCTCTGTATGGGGCCACCGATCCCAGAAGAACCCTACCTGTCCCGGGTGCGTTTGGTTCCTTGGTTGGCTCGTACCTTGGACCGGTCGGTCAGGTGTTAGGCCTGGATTTGCGAACTGGAACATGGCCCACATAAATAGTTGATTTACCTATTAGAATGGCATTTATAGTTGATTTACCTATTAGAATGGCCCATTTATAGTTGATTTACCTATTTTCGAATGGCGATGTTCCATAACTCTTAGTTTACTCTAGAGGGCAATGGGAAATCCACTTCATCAAGGGGAATCTATAGGAAATATGTCTTGTTTTTTGAGAGTTCCTGAAGCAAATCCAACTCAAAGGGGGAAGTGTTCAAAGTGAGCAGTGTTCAAAAGCCGGTTGATGATTGTAGAGGCTTATCCTGTCCAATTAATATTGGGATTATAATCTGTATATATATATATAATTATATATAAATATAATATATATATATGACTGGTTGGTGGTTTGGAACATTTGGATTATTTTTCCATCTACTGGGAATGTCATCATCCCAACTGACTTTCACTCCATCATTTTTCAGAGGGGTGGCGAAAAACCACCAACCAGATGATAATCATAATGGATATGGTAATCCCCATGAACCAACCATAAGACTGCTCAAATAAGTTTGGATTAACAGCATGCACTGTTTCAACAGATGCATTCGTCACCATTCCTCTCAAACACCATTCGTCATTGGGGTGGAGGTGGTTTCTATCGAGAATTGATCATGATTCATCCCGCGGGAAAAGGAGGTCTTCAGCACCAAAGATGCCAGGCTGATGTAAGCAGGTTTGTGGTTCCAACTGTTTGTGGTTTCTTCTATCCAGAAAACTAGGATAATGACTCCCTTAAATTGACAGCATGTGTTGATATTCACCATCAATCCCATCATAAATCCAACCTTTAGCCCATGTCTATCTATCGTTATTGGGGGAGAAAACTTTGTATAGGGAAAACGTTTTTTTTGTGATATCCTAGGAGTCCAACCCTTGAATCCACCATGGGTGCTATAAGCCATGAAAAAAATGGATGTTTACTATCCCAGATGCTCCATGTATAGTATATTTACCTACATTTGGTTCATTTATGGGGTAAATGTTGGTAAATATTCCATACATGGAGCATACGGGTATGATTATAGCTATAACCATATATAGCCATAGTGAAATTCTAGTTATAGATGTTATAGCACCAAAATAAATGGGAATAGCACCCATGGTCAATCTTACATGGATATTTTAATCAGTCTTTTGGTATTAATGGAAATATCCACGTTCACCAGCAAAGATGTTTTTCATTTTTTGCAGGGTATCTAAGATTGGCAATGTGTATGAACCATTCAAAACCTTGATGGTTATTAGCCATTGATGTTTATTAACATTGATTGGCCATTTGATGTGTAAAAAAAGCCTTGAACCGTTAAATAATTCAAATGGATGTTTACTTGGTGGATTCAGAAAATGGATGAACATGGCTTTACCAACATTAAACAGTCATTAAGCCCAATTCTTAGGCCACCAAGCAGCCTAGGCAAATATCGCTTGGAAGAGGCTCACTTTACAGATTCCAACGCCCCTCGGTCTTTCGAAGTTCGCTTCCCTCATGTCACACGTTGTCTTCTGCTTGCAGAACGGGGTTTTCAAAGACGATGACCTCCAAACATGGTGTCAACCCGGATTAATAAACCCCGTTTACAGCTGGTGAATTGGGAGGGTACCAGAAAAAAGTAGAACTATTGGAGAAGTACCACCCTAATTAAGAAACCATGGTTTATTCATCCAGGTTTGACATTAATCGAGAAAAAAGAACTCGTTTACAATGATTACAGATAAGGTTTTGCAGCCGAAGGGGCCTTTGGAATTTGATTCTAGGGTCCTTGGTGATTTAGTTCTACCTCTGATTGTGTGATAATAGATATGTTCCAATATTTATTTCTTTATCTATCTTATTTATCAAGGTAGGTGGCCTTGGTATATACTAGTGAAATTTATCCCAAAGGAAAAATCGTATTGGCTTAGTGTCCCTTGGAGGTTTCAATATTAATATCAATTCTTATCCGTCATTCGGTAGTCGTGCCAAGAAGGGGATTGATAATTAGCTTCTCCATCCATTTACCCTTCTACTCGTGGAAGTACCAATCAGAACAAACGATCACCATTCGATCGAAGTTATTCGTAGTTCACATATGTTATTTTTTGGTTGAGTACTTAGAAAATAAAATAACATATTGTTATGCGACGGATTTGCGGGGGCGATGGACTTGGGGTCCCCCGAGCCAAAAGATCGTTTTTTTTTTTTGCCTAAATCTCAAATGAAGGACCCCGAATCCATTGCGGGAAAAATCATGGAAGAATATAATAGTAAGGCTGTTTCCTATGTCCACATATAAATTTCTGCACCCTGACATCGGCAGGTTTTTTGTCCTAAATCCCAGGGTGCAAACTCAGTATTGCCCAAGTCTAGGTGCAGAAACCTGCACCTTGACTTAGGCAATACCCCACCAAGCACCTAGAACATCGGCCAAAAAAAAAAATGCCTAAGCCAAGGTGAAGATTTCTGCACCCTGAGTTCGGCAAAATTATGATTGGACATTGCATTTACTGTACTTACTGTAAAGGATATAGATATAGACGTAGAAAAATTGGGAAATTTAGTACTTGAAAAAAAAAGTGATCATCAGGGATAGTAATGGTGTCTTTATACCAAAGATATATGGGGGCACCACCCTAGAAGAAACATGAGCGTGGTTGATACAAGTACCTATATTCCATTTTAATCCAGCAATTGGTCGGGTACCCTTCCAGGGAAATGGTAATGGACCCCGGAAAATCCAAAGAATATGATAGAAAAATCATCGTAATCGATACTGGGATGATACCAATTTAATCAACAAATTGGTTGCCTAAAATGAAAATAATAATGCACATATGATTATTCATGAACATGGTAGAAAACAAGTAGATACATTAAATAATCAATGATAAGATGATAGATACCCATTTAATCAATCAATTGGTTACCTCATAGGGGAAATAGTAAGCTACCTATAATACAATTCAATTCCACCATATATATACTTTTGGAAAGACCCAAGAATCCATTTCCAGAGACCCCAGATCAATTACAAAACCTTAGATGGTGTTCCCTCCATGTTTGGTGGATTTTCTATTGCCACGTAAGTTTATTTTTTGCGGATGGTACTTCCAGCAAAACACCTGAGGTTCAACAGCTGTGTTTGGGCCCAGCGGACGCAGGTGTGCCTGGTGTGCCTTGTGACTGGGGTGAAGTGGGGGGGAGAAAGCGGGGCATCAAACGATAGAAGAACATGTGGAACTTACACCTGGAACTATAAATAGAGATCATATACCCATAAAACTGCAAGTAAAGCTGTGGATACTTGGTAAAACTTGCATCATCAAGTATCTACGGCTTAGTGAGCGGAAATTCATGTCAAAATTGAGATGCACCTTCTAGAAACCTTGGTGATGGTTCCTTGGGAGCTTTTGGGACTGTACTACTTCCATGTGTTCTTTTCATTTCTTTTCCATGTCCAGGTTCATGTTTAGATCATATGCCAAGCCATACTCTTTTTGTTTGTTGAGTTCTAATTGCTGTTGCTTTCTATATCATGATGGATCTACTCTTTTCTTAGTAAAACTTCAGTTTTTGTTGTCAATCCTACCTGTTTTTGCGGGGTGCATGAACTATGTCAAATCTCCATATTGGTTGCTGCTCCAAATACTAACATTTTTGAGCTGACCAGTGCCACCTTCCCATGTGTGTTTGTTTACCTCTAACGATAACCAAGTCTTAATTTGCCTAGTGAAAGCAACCTTAGCCAACTGTCTCGCGGGGTTTCTGAATTCACCCATGATGGGAATCCGAAATGATTTCTGACTGGGGCACCTTGATCACAAAATCATGAACGTTTCGCAGCTGAAATCCAGGGATATATAAGGCTTAAGTCCCGAAAAAAAAGCCCTTGCCAACCGGAAAAACCAAGTGTTCAACCCGTTAAACAAAAAGAAACGTCTTAGTGGATATGTGGTTGTTGGTGAAGATTTGCCCTTAGTGAACCCACTCGTTGGGGACTTATCCCGAATATTCCCATGCAATATCCCACTTGATACATCCACTTTTGTTGCTTAAATCTCCATGTGCAACCATCGGGATATTAGGTCATCCCCATTCAAAATCCCATTATATAAGAATCCATAGAAAATCCCTATGAAGTTCCACTATGATCCTAAAAGAAAATAGAGGAAAAGTGCCATGTTGGATGGTTGTTCAGCAAAACCAAAGTAGTGAAGTCCCTATTCTCGTTGGTTCTGTATCCACGTAAAACCCCCAACATTTAGTGGATATATCCGCATGAAATCACAATCTGTGCTGCTAAAACCCATGAAAATCCCAATTCTTGCTCTGTAAATCCTCATGTTTGCCGATGAAACCCATGAGAATCCCATTCAAGATCCATCATATTCTGGGTGGTGTTATATCTGTCTAAAATTCCATAAAATATCCTGGCTGGTGGTTTGGAACATGAATTTGATTTTTCCATTCAATTGGGAAGAATAATCCCAACTGACTTTCATATTTTTATCCCGGTTGGTGGTTTGGAACATCAATTTTATTTTTCCATTCAGTTAGGAATGTCATCATCCCAACTGACGAACTCATTTTTTTTCAGAGGGGTGGCTCAACCAGTATCATGAAATCCATGAAACTCCCACGGCAACAGCTCTGTGGCAGGCGCATCGCCCTGTGCGCAGCAAGAAGGGCGGATGGCCTTGGCCACGGCCCTGGCCGCGTGGAAGGCGCCGGGTGTTGTTCGGATTTTGGGAAGGATGGGTTGTAGGGATATACATGGTCTACCCTCTGGTAAACTAACATAACTATGGAAAATCACCATTTTTGATGGGAAAATCCACTATTTCTATGGTCATTTTCAATAGCTATTTTGACATAACCAGAGGGTAGCTGTCTAACTAGCATCAATATAGGAACTTAACATGACCAACGGGTTCTCCCCTTTTGGATCCTGTGGGGGATGGCACATTTGGATACAGCGATGGCACCTTTCCGAGGGTCCAGCGATGGTGTTTTAGATGGCGCAATGCGGTTGGTCTGAAGATATGGTGCCATATGGTATCGCAAAATCCAAAAAATGTTATAGTTGACCATATGGTACCATGGTAAGTATGATCATGTGATGGTTTTTCATAATCTTATGTTATAGTTGAACATATGGTATCCCCAAATCCCAAAATCCATGTGTTTCCATGTTTCGAAGACTTGCCAAAATTGACTCCCAAAAATGACCCCGATGTTGGTAAATGTTCCATACATGGAACATGTTTTGGTCATGAGTCATGGGTGTTATGGATGACCATCCTGATTTTTCCTAAAAGAAATTGCCATACCCAGCAGTTGCAGGATGTTCGTGTGCTTCTAGATGGAGTCGCCCTGCTAACGGCAGGAAGGTGCGGTTGTGGAACGGAGCAAGAATCGAGAGACGGGGAAGATGGGGACAGGTTCATACAGGCCCAGATAATAAAGTTGGGAACCTAAAATGAAACGATCCATTACCAAATCAAACTTTCTAGGGCAAAGGGAGAACTGGGTCTGGAAAAGGAATTGGGGCCGCAAGGGAAACCCCCGCGGTCCTGATAGCAGACGCATGCGGTGCCATGAGTGCGGATCAGAGGCATCCCAAGGCGGCAGGTGTCAACGCTGCGGCCATTTGCGCGAAGGTGCCATACTGCTTCAGGAGCAGCTCGAGCAGCCTGTGTACAGTGAGTTTTTCAGCAGCTCTTCGCCGCTCTACGAACCGATGTGTGTTGCTGACATGGACCGCACAGAGCAGGGCGACGAGCCGAAAGAGATCAAGACGGAGAAGAAAGCTTTGGGGCTCATTAGATCATTGGATTTGACACGCAGTCATTTCAGATCACCTTGGGATAAGTCGGATAAGTATATGAATCAGTTACCATGCGCTTGCGCGCCTTCATTCACTCCAAAGCCAGGCTACATCTCACCTAGCAGCTCAGAGCTTACCAAAGTCCACAGGTCCCAAGGGTTTGGATATTGATTTTTTGGGAACCATACCCTGATACATGTTCATTTGTATCATATGATCAGTGATATATAATATTTACGATTAGCTATGCGATTATATATATATATATATGTACAATAATAATATAATAATATATAATAATATATAATAATATATAATAATATATAATAATATATAATAATATATAATAATATATAATAATATATAATAATATATAATAATATATAATAATATATTATAATATATTATAATATATTATAATATATATAATAATATATAATGATATATAATGATATATAATGTTATATAATGAAATATCATGATATATCATGAATCATGATATATAATAATGATATATAATAATGATATATAATGATATATAATGATATAAAATGATATAAAATGATATATATATAGTGATATATAATGTATATACACAGAGTTTTTGAAGCATAAGAATGGCCATATGCGCTAGAGAAACTTAGATGTAAGATGATGGTAAACATGACACTGGGGATTCTGTGTCCCTGGCGGACAGGGCAACTCCCAATACTTTCCACGGTGTCTGTTGGGAGTTGATACTGTGGATGGGCCAGCGAAATCCGAATCACCAGTTGAAAACGGTGATTTATCCCATTATTTATAGGTTTCCAACCATCCAAGGTGGTGCAGGATTTCGCAACCATCCACCGTATGACAACAAGTTCTATGGAAGTTTCTTTACTAAAACCTTCTGTTGGCATTTGATATGGCAATAAGTTCTATGGCAGCGTCGCTTATTTGGACGCATGCTGCACGTAGATCTCGTGCATCACCCTGCTCCAGCGACGACCTCATCGTCCTGCCAAAGCCCCACGCCTTCACCAGGCTGCCGTTGGGTGAGGACGCAGCCATGCAAAGCCTTGAAGTTTGCAGCCACGATGAAGGCAGTGGCGCTGATTTTGAGCAGTGCGGATGCAGTGAAAATAAAGACAGAGAGACAAACCAAGCATAGGCACGAGGGGAATTCAAGGTTGCAGATGGTATGATGATGAAGTGGTCTTTTTTCCTTTTTTTTGCCACAAAACCAGGACATCGCCTTTCCATTCAGACCAGCGGCCACTTAGGGTCGACGGTTTCAAGTGTTTTCAGGGTGGGATGGCTCCCTCAACCACCAATCAAACCGTGGCCAGCGATCCCCATGACACGATGTATTTGTTTGGGAACTACCAGCGATGTAATGCCAGGGGAATTGGGGAATTCTATGGAATTCTGGTCTTTGGACAGACTTAGTTGGACTATATATACAGTCTATCATACAGTAATAGAATTTTGTTTGTATATAGTATTGGATCTGTAGCAAATGCCATACTTCTTTGCGTACTTATTTGTAGTATTGTTTACCAGCTATACATGTCCGTTCCAATATGCCTATACACATGTATGTTTATTATGTGTATATATATATGTAGAATCCAGTCACACGGCACTACAGTCATGATACTAGTGTAGAAGCTGTGTATATATGACTATATGTATACATGTGTTATACATGTATAGATATGTGTACTCATCCTGAAGTAGATATGATATAGAATAGCAAGAATAATGGTAATGATTGTGAATATATATATATATATCTAAACATATTCCATATACCATGAATGAGATAGAAGCATAGATAGAATTCTTTGCTGTTTTCGACTCTGATGACTGATCACACTACGTTACATCACATGGCTTTGAATTGCATTGCACCATTCCATTCACTTACAATAGAGAAATAGTACATTACATATGTTTTTCTCTCCGTTTTCTATCTTACTATCCAGATCTATTAGATACACAATACATGATATTACTGCATATAGATTCAGAAACTGTACTATTCACACTCTACATGATCCGTTTTTTTTTTGTACAGTGCGTTGGTGTGTTTTCTCCACTGCCAGCAGCGGTAGGCTTTCTGTGCAGCGCCCTGGAGACGGAGAGCGTCGTGTTGCCCATGGAGGTGATGGTGGAGACGGAGACCCAACCGGGGTCCGCTGAAAATCTGGGATGTTGCGCCGGGATGAAGCTGGCGCTGGGGATTTTTAAGCAGGAAACATGAGGATTTCATAGGTTTTTATTCTGAAAACCATCCAGAGTTGGATGGAAAACATAGTGATTTGAGTGGCAAGGAATGGGGGTTGATGATGATTTACGTATTGTTAGTGATAGCATGTGATAGCTATTTCCGTTGGGATGTGTGATAGGAATGTTTTGGGGGTATAATCATGAAGAATGGGGACGCTAGACTAACAGAAATCAGGATTCAAGCGGCAAACATGGAAATGTATCATTGATTTATGATTGCCAAGTTGGTTCTGAACTAGTATTTCACTAGGGTTTATGGTGGTTATCTATGGTCAATGGGAGTTATGAACCAGTTCACAACTGGATGACTTTCATGAGGGCCGTCCTACATATGTTCCTTTAACAGCCTATAACATTTTTCTTGTTTGTTCATGTCAGTTTTCAGAGGTTTATTGTTTCACATTCATATATATATATATATATCATAATACAACATATATAAAGACATATATATATATACATATTTATGTGCGTGTGTGTGGTTATAGAAAGTGTGCCCAGTGCTTAAAGGCTGGCTGCAAAACTGCCGAACCTAACAACTCGTAGTCTTTGGAAGGAGAAAAAACGACCAGGCGCCTCACAGCGCAATTCCCTAAATACTTACCATCTGGTTATGACTAACATAGCCATGGAAAGATCCACCATTTTTAATAGGTAAACCATCTATTTCTATGGGCCATGGCTTCCATGGCTATGTTAAATAACCAGAGGGTATTGTTTGATGTTATTTGTACATACCAATTGGGACACGTATGTGAAAACTCAAACTGATCGGCATGCAGGGGTGGATTGTCCAGCCATAGTCAGTCAAGTCCCTATTGTTGAGTCAAATCCAAGGTAACATCCCATGAAAATGAATTAAACCCCAGTAAATCACTAAGGTTTATTGGATTAAAATGAATTAAACATGAAACTAAACCCCAGTAAATCCAATGCTGAACTTTTCCAGCTGGATCTGTGGTCTCACAGGAGCCGTCGCGCTGCACCTTTCGTTCGGCTCGCGACACTGGGGCCGCCGGAACGCAGCTTCCCCCGCTGCTGCGGGTGCAGCGGGGAGGCCCTGCTTGTGAGGCCTGGTCCCTGCAATGGGCTTCTGGAGAATGTGATACCCAATTCTATTTTGACAATGTTGCTAGAGCAATAGGATCCACTATCCAAACATTTAACATGGCTATGAAACGTTAAGCCATTTGGGGATGTGTTTTTCTCTTTTGAAACCTTCAATTGTTGGGCCAACCAGCTTCTGACCTGACACACTGATAGGTGAGAAAGGTTTCAAATGGTTTAAACACATGTGCTTCAAAATTGTGTTGGTAGATTCCAGGGTCAAGATTTTGGGGTATGTGCTTCAAATGATAAAATACTGTATGTTTTCTGTCGGGGGCGACGCGGGACTGTTTGAACAATGAAATCATACCAAATATTTTATGTGCAACCTTTCAGAAATTATTTTGGGTGGGTGGGTAGTGTCAAAGGAAATTATTTTGAGGTGGGTTAGAGTGTTTTTGAAAAATATTTTGAGGTGGGTTGTGTACTAGAAGCACCTCAGATTAATTCCTAAAAATTATTTTGGGGGGTGACCCTAGTGTTTTTACCCATGGTAGCCCGCATATGAAATCACCATGAAGACACGTGAAATTATGATACATATGTGGAGTTGTCCATTGCACCTCAGGGTAAACATAGGGACGATAAACCTGGACTTTCTACCTCAGCTGACCCAAAGTTGATGGTTAGTACTGGGCATCCCCAATTGGCACTCCCAGATGCTCCAAGTTAGCCAAAGGATTTGAGACGCCACATTGGGTAAATTGATGTAAATTGGAACACCTGGGAATAGTTACCCTCTGGATCCCTCTGGTAAACTAACATAGCTATTGAAAATGGCCATTTATAGTGAGTTTTACCATTAAACATGGTGATTTTCCATAGCAAACTGTTAGTTTACCAGAGGGTAAGGCCATGGATTACGGCCATCATTCATTTATCCAAGGATTCATCCGTTCTTTTCCCTCGAGACGACCACCGACCACCTCAGGGCGTGGAAGTGTTCAACATGCGGCTCCACAATGGGATGCTGCTGCCTGTGTGGCAGCGGCCAAGCTCAGGACCCCAGGGCAGCACGTTTTGAGGAGTTGATCTGATAGTAACGATCCGCCAAAAGGATCCAAACGGTCGAACTTCTTCTGGTTGGTGGTTTGGAACATGAATTTTCCCATCAATAATAGGGACTTAATATGGGTTAATGGGACTTCATATATCTTGATATGGACTTAGTAGATCTATATACTGGTTGGTGGTTTGGAATATGAATTCTATTTTCCCCGATAGTTGGGATGATGATCCAATCTGACTTTCATATTTTTCAGGGGGGGTGAAACCACCAATTAGTCTTCGAATCCCCCCCAAAAAAACATTTTTGTTTCTTAGCACAGTGTCATGGCCACAAGCCATCCAGAAGATGGAGATATAGACAAGAATCGCCATGATGATGATGATATTGTGGTTTTGGATGGATATCATGGTGGTGGATTACTACTCACTTTTGGATGAGGATTTTGATGATGATGATGATGATGATGATGGTAGCAATGGTGATGGTGATTTTGAAGAATAATGAAGGAGACGAAGCTCACATGGTGGTGGTGATTTTCATTGGTGCTAAGATTATGTATTGTTACACACGTTGTATGATGCCCTGTGGCTGCAACTGGGTGGTCGATCAAACAAGTGATTGCATACCAAAGGTGGCAGAATAAGCATGCAGATGACTTGGGTCTTGTGGAATACGGGGGAACAGCCTGCCACTTACCCAAGAAGTCAAGTGATGGGGAACCATCTGAACTCCCTAGTTATGTGATGGAAGACACTTTGCCGCCTGAAACTTGGGCTGGATGGAAGGGCCGGCTTTGCCCCGCAAAGTCAACAAACCCCCCGCTCGCGAGCCTGAGCCTTCTCTAGCTGCACAACTCTGGCATACTCTGGCTTTACAAAATGTCCTGGGATTGTGATCCCATGAAGGTTTCGCTGGCGTCGATGCAAGCTTAAGTTGAGGGTGCCGGAGTAGGGTTGGTAAAGCAATATAGTAAACCATCCCCGAAATAAGCATACATGGGTTTTATAAACCATCAAAATATGGGTGGTGTATTATTGCTTTACCAACATTAATTAAACACAATTATATATGATTATATTTAATATAGTTATTGTATTATATTATATCATATTATATTTTATTATATTATATCATATTATATTATATTACATTCATTATATTATATTACATTACATTATATTATATTACATTCATTATATTATATTATATTATATTTTTTTATATTTTATTATACTATTTTTTTATATTATATCATATTATCTTATATTATATTATATCATATTATATTATATTACATTTATTATATTATAGTATATTACATTATATTATATTATATTACATTATATTATATTATATTACATTATATTATATTATATTATATCATATTATATTATATTACATTTATTATATTATATTACAGTATGTTATATTATATTATATTATATTTTTTTAATATTATATCATATTATATTATATTATATTACAGGCGTAGATGTATGACATTTATGCACATTTATCGCAGTCAACCCCACAATCAGTGGGTAGTGACTAGCACCGGGCAATGCTGTCACTTCCAGTGCAGGAGATGTGGAGGACTTGGCAGCACATGTGGCGGCCTCGGCTCACCGAAAGCCTATCCCAGATACGACCCATGGTGCTGGTAGATTTACCTACAAAACTGGATACAAAACCGGTTCATTTATGGGGTAAATGTTGGTAAATATTCCAGGACCATGGAGCATATGGCTATGGGTTTCAGCCGTTATAGTTATAGTTATAACATGTTTTGTTGGTGTTGCCTTTGCTTCATAGCAAAACTAAAAAGCCAGAAAACCAGGATAGATCATGTTCCCCCCAAGTTTTCGCATCGCCATGGGCAGATCGAAAACCTGGAAGTCAAGAGAGATGTCGGCGTCGTGAATCGGCGTCGTCAATCTCGGGCTCCCAAAACGAATCCACTGGAATCGCTGGAGTCTATTGATATCTATTGGATTGTTCGTGAATTGGATCCCAAATATACATGGAAGATCATGGAAGTATTGATCATGTGATCCAGAGATGGGTTCAACACCCCTTTGATGGTTTAAAATTCCATTATGAATGGCTGTATATCTGTAACATCCGAAGAACATCTTTGTGAAACCAATTTTTGTTCTCTAATGTGAATCCTGGCTTAAAAAAACACCAGTTTGTGAAGAGAGGGTACCAATGTTTGATAGCAATCTATCAAGATGCTGCAAGGACAAATCAGTTCCAGGAGTATAGGATAATGGTCACCTATCCAGTGCCAGAAGTGAATTGGCAAGGGTGAACGCACCCAGTGCCTTGCCAGAGTGGATGAAGGTGGAGCAGTGGCAACAGCTCACACCACATGGCAACAGCAGTGCGAATCTGTGCGATGAAGCACAGGTCTGTGCAGATCACAGTGCTGCGGATGCGATGGAGTTTGCCACTACAGACATGCTGCAATGACAAAGGATGCCAAAGTGGTTCACATCAAGTGAGGGGTAAAACTGGTAGACCACTTTAGGGAGAAGTGCACGAAACATTGTGTTGAGACGAGGCCCAAAAAGCAATACCCATATCCAGATTTGAAGCCGATTGACGCAATGTTGCGTACAATGCATGCCCAGTGCGGACGTTCCTGCTTCTTGGACATTGTTTTCTAGATCATCTGAAACCCATTGTGGGTGTCACTTAAGTTGATTGTCACATGTTGTTTTTTTGAGTAAGCCTCAGCCTACCCGTCTGTTATTTTGTTGATTTTTTCTGTGCACTCTCTGGTTTGCTGGTTAAATCCCTATGTTTGTCGCTTTGAATCACGATGTTTGCTGGTTTTACCCATAGGATCCATGTATGCTATATATGGTAACATTTACCATCAATATACCCCAAATGTTAGCATATATACCATACATGGATCCTATGGGTTATTCAATGAGTTTCGTGATGTTGATCCCACTTGATCTTTTTGTGAAATCCGTTGTGTTTTCTTGCTATTTGATCCATTTCTATCCAAACAAAACAGGTCAAAGTTAAATTTACCTCAGCAAAATGATCAAGCTAAAAAGATCTCACTAAACCCGCAGCTTTTCCTCCGACCTCTTGTGGCTGTTTGAATATAATGAAGAAACATATAGTTGATCAAAATTAGTCTTGGTCAAATGTGATAAAACAGAACAACTACTCAAAATCCCATCTCTGCTTTTTATAGATCAAAATCCCATTTTGTAACCATGTAAATACATATAAATACGTATATGTTTGAACAAAAATAGTAGTCAAGCAAATACAATGCATGCCCTCTGGTAATTTTTCAGATAGCTATGGAAAATCATCATGTGTAATCGGCCGGTAAATGGTCTACGGGCCGTGGCTTCCACAGCAAGGTGTTAGCCAAAGGGCAGATGAAAATCCCATGATTCCAAAATCCCATTATTCCATATTATTCCATATTATTCCCTATTTCTCATATCCCATAGGATCCATGTACGCTATATATGGTAACATTTACCATCAATATAATATACCCCCAATGTTAGTATATATACCATACATGGATCCTATGGGTATTATCCCTCACTATAAAATAGCTCTTCTTGGGATTCCGCATCTCGAATCCCGAGTCGATCCCATGGAGGTGTTGTCCTGCATGGCACTTCGTCTTCGCCTTGAGGCGTTCCGAAACGAAACAATGACGGCGCTGGAGGATTTTTTTGGACAAAAGATGGGATTATAGTGGGATTCAACCAGGAATGGTGGGATTATAATGGGATAGTAGTGGGATAATAGTGGGATAATGGCGATAATACTTGGATTTTATAATGGGATACTCCTAAATCCTTTAGGATTTAACCACTCGTGGTGGGATTTAACATGATTTAAACAAGAAAAATTGATCATTTCTATGGGAATGATGATGGTGATGGCATGGGGAAATCAATAATTAGTGATTTAATCTGAATGACTTACAACGACCTCACGTGGTGACGTGATGGTATGTTCAGGTGAGTGAATTATTCTGGGTAAATTATAACGACCTCACTGCGACCTCACTGGAAATCATGGTTAATAAGGGGAATCACCCCCAAATGGCCTTAATTCAGGTTAGTGAATTATTATAATTTACCCAGATTATTGTAAGTCAGAATTCAGCCAGATCCATTGGGTTCTCCATTGGATAATGATTCTGATGATTGATAATCCATGGGAAAGCCCAAAAAACAACATGGGAGATATCCAACACTCCAATGCTTATTGATATTAGTATTGATAATGAATTGAATATAGATGATGAATGATGATGATAATGAATTGAATATAGATGATGAATGATGATGATAATGAATTGAATATAGATAATGAAGAACAAAGTGAATATTAACATCCATAACATCCTGAATAGATAGCGATGAACAAACATATCAGTATGAATGGACACATGTAGTTTTCAGTCGAGTCCTCCCAAAAAATGCACAACTTTCCAGGTGAATCATGCTGATTTATCCAGGTGTATGTTTCCTCAACATGGAGACAAAAAACAAGAGTGAATAGCACACACAGTTTTGGCACTTTGCCAGTTATACGTACTTATAACATCTTATAACCCCATTTATAGAATTTCTAATCCCAACTACCCTCTGGTAAACTAACATAGCTATTGAAAATGGCCATTTATAGTGGATTTTCCATTAAAAATGGTGATTTTCCATAGCAAACTGTTAGTTTACCAGAGGGTAATAGCCATGGCCATAACTGCACCACCTTTAGGCTTTTCTCGAAACTCTCCGCCACATGTTCTGCCAAGTTTGTGGCCCTTGAGGGGCCGTCGGGCCGTAATTCGTTGCTTGCTATTCGTTGCTTCCGTTGGGCGACTCCCCAGAAAAATCGAAAGAGTAATTCATCACCCCATTTACCCTCTGGTAAACTAACATAGCTATTGGAAATCACCTTTTTCAATGGGAAAATCAACTATAAATGGCAATTTTCAATAGCTATGTTAAATTACCAGAGGGTATAGAATCTATAATCCTGGTTGGTGGTTTGGAACATTGTTATTATTTATTTCCATATATTGGGAAGAATCATCCCAACTGACTTTCATATTTTTCAGAGGGGTTGAAACCACCAACTAGACTACTTGAATAGGAATTTACTCTTTTTGATTTTTTGGAGTTACCCATTAATAACTTGGAATTGTGCGATCAAACATGTTGACTATTACCCTGAATACCCGGTGGGTCAAAAATTGAAGGCTGAAAATGTGCTCATTTCTTTTTGGTATTTACCAGTAATGTGTATAGTCAAACGTAGTCCACCAGTCTTGTGACACCCAATGTTTGCCTCAAAAAAAACGGTGTTGTTGGATCAGTTCTCATCAATCCCACCATCTTTCCAGAGATCTTCAATCATCTCCCCACCGTTTGTTCTGGACCAACCTTGGATGGATAGCTTAGAGTCGTTTAATTTGTCCTTTAATTGTGTCCTGTCACTGGGAATATATATATAATTATATATATATACTAATCAGCATTAGTTCATAGTATCTTGTGGTAATAAAACATATAAAACATGGCTTGCTGGAAACTCTCCTGTAGAGTATGTTCGATGATTTTCTCATTGAAACGCCCATGTGTTTCGGAGATTTGCCGTGTTTGATTGCCAGAAACTATCCCCCATATTTCTTGGTAACCTATCCCCACTCAACTCCGCCTTTTTAGTAGTTAAATATCACATCCCAACATATCCCCGCTATATAAACCTCATGTTAAACACCTCATGAACTACTAAGAAATGTAACATACATGGTAATCATATCAACAATGAGTTGTAACATATCCACGAAACACCTCATTTTTGTTGGTTCTGTAAATCATGTCAATGGATTGGTTTAAGGGAAAATTTTAACCGGAAAACCCCATGATCTTAGTGGGAAAATCGATGGTTTCCGGTTAAGAGTTTCCCTTAAACCAATCCATTGATCATGTCAAATCCACCATTTTTTTGTTGATCACACTGATCATCATCCAGGCCACAACTTGGCGCGTGCACGCCCCATCAGATCAACTGCAAGGCAGGGCCCCAGGGCGGCAAACCGGCAGGGCGCCACCGAAGGATGGCATGGGACTCTAAGCAAAACATAGGTTTAATTACCGTAAAAGATGGGATGGGAACTAACCATCAAAAAAGGGGAAGTATTTCTTGTAGCAAAAAAATCCAGATGCGATATGATGGTGATGAAGATACCATCAAAGAAGTTGGAAGTTAAGCAACAGGAAATGTGGATTTAATCAACAAAATGAGGACATCAGTTAGAAAGGAGGGAGTTTGGCAACAGACATATTCAATTACAGTATCAGCTACATATATATATATATATACATATACATATAGATATAGATATATATACATATATATATGCAGTATATATATATGATATCTTGGTATTGGTAAGAGGCGCCACTTGCCCTCTGGCAGTATACCGGCAGGAGTTTGGACCAATCGTACCGTGTCCCGAGATCACGTCCCTGCGATGCAGCTGGTGCTGGTTGGACCTGCAGACACATGGCGGTCACCAGATGATCAGCAAACCCGCTTTGCAATAGATTCAGACAGGTGCAGTCACTGCAGTCATGTCCGTTTCTATCCATGAATGGGGGATACCAACAACAACTGCTTGGTGCTTTGGAACATTTTTTATTTTCCCATATATTGGGAATAATATAACCTCAACTGACGAACTCATATTTTTCAGAATTTTTCAGAGGGGTAGGTCAATCACCAGCCAGACAAACATTGCGAATGGAACAAGTATTGCAATGTGATAGATATAGATATGAATCTCATCCCGGTGGATTTCTGGATGTTCATCCCCCCCAAATATGGTATCGATTTGGTCCATCCCCATATGAGGCATTTTTTTTTCAGATTCAAACAGGAGTTTCTTTAAAAAAGGGGGTTCCAAAACCATGAGTTCAAATATTTTTTATGGTCCTTTATAACTTGGATGATTTGGGCATTTTAGGACATTCCCAAGCACGAATTGACTGGTCACTGCATGTGTTGGCCACATTTTGTTGGCTCCATGTTGGATGATGCTGGTGAATCAGTTCGCTGTGGTTATCCTCGAATTGATGCAACATTGGGCCATAACTACAACCCCACTGAATTTCCTAATCAGAGACCCATCTACCATTTATGGATGACTTTCCTATATTGAAACCTACATTTATAATCATTTTCTAAAAAAATTATAGGGCATTTCGAAATTGCTATGTTCAAGTGAAGCAATGATCCTCCAAAAAAGACGGATGCAGTTCTGCGGCCCTGGAGGATCCGAGTGTTTGGAATATCTGAAGAGGACGGCGCTGCCCGGGGTGCCATGGTGACCACAGCCGGGTACCAATTGACCCACAAAATTGGTGGAAGTGTGGGATGAGCAATGTTAGTCTCATGGTTCTAACATGTTCCTCATGGTTCTAATATGTTCTAATCATCTCAGAACTTGCTTGAATACGTTTGAATACAGAACACTATATATAACTCAGACAAGCATCAAAAGAGATCTCTGAGATGAGTAATGATTAATGTGTTTGCCCTCGGGTGGAAGAGGCAGTCACAATACACCAGAGCGGATCTGTCACAGGCAGTGTTCAAAACCCCTGTTTGATGATTAGTTCGAGGGTTATACTACCCTGCAAAAAAAATGGGGATTATGGGATTATAGTAATCCCATAATCCGGGGAATCCCTATATGGAAGAGGGATTAATAGAACACTGCTCAATTGATCAAAATTGGTCATTTGTTGTACTGAAACCATCCATCGCCCACTGTTGGGAACCCGAGATGTGTCACGTTTTCTTTTGCTGCTGGCTCAACGTCACATTCATGAATGAACTTTGGAACATCCCAAAAAAATCAACAGTTTTTTTTGGGATATTATGTATACAATAGTTTCTATAGGAAAGGATCAATGACATCTATATTCCATATACATTAGGCGGATGGTATAGTATGCCCCCTGCCGAGCCACTGTGTACCTGTCATGTGCACAGTACCGAACACAGCCCCTTCTGCAGGTTGAAAAGGAGGTTCATTGCAAAGAACTAACCCACAGTCAACCAGTTGATACTAACCTAATCTAAACGATTCCAAACCGCTATTTAAGAGTGATTGTTGCTCCATGCATCTCCAAGTATTGCGTCCATCGAAAAAACACAAAAGGTTGGTCTGGAAAAAAAGGGTACCGCGGGTACCCCAAATCCAGTGGTTTTTTAGAAAATTGTGCCCTGGCATGAAATGGCATGACATGGCCTTAAAAAATTGGGTATACCCATGTATACCCCGTTTTCAGACCCGCCATCCAGTCACATTGATCCATTGGTGTAAAAATCCCTCAAAGAGGGTCAAGTCTCGAAGTTTTGCCTGGTGAAATTTCAGTTTATGAGGGGTAAATCTGCTAAATTTACTCTACAATTCATGTATAACCGAGTATAACCCATATAGCTGGGAAGATTAAATAAAGAAAACTACCGTGAATCTGTGTGTGTGTGTTTGCCCGCCAGCTTCATAACCACTTCACTCCCAGGTATTTTTTGGGGGATCTCAACACCCCCTATGCGAATCCCCCATTCGAATGGACTATTGTTCACATTGTTCACAGTTAAATCGTGTTAAATCCTCCATTTGAATCTGACCCCCCCCTATACCCTCTGGTAAACTAACATAACTATGGAAAATCACCATGTTTAATGGGAAAACTCACTATTTCTATGGCAATTTTCAAGTTCGCAAACTGTAAACGTTTACCAGAGGGTAAGTTGACCACCGACTTCAAGGAGCGTGGCGTCCCTTACGGAACCGGTGGTGCTGCTGTCCCCTTTCCTGCTGCAGGAGAAGTGGTCCGACAAAACCACCCAGGCGCGAGGACTTTTTTGGGGCTTGGGATGGCTCGGTGTTTGGGTCGATTTTGCATGAAAAGTATACGTATATAATATATATATAGATAGATAGATATATATATATATAGATAGATAGATAGATAGATATATAGATAGATAGATAGATAGATAGATCGATAGATCGATAGATCGATAGATAGATAGATATATAGATAGATAGATATATAGATAGATAGATAGATAGATAGATAGAGATAGATAGATAGATAGATATATAGATAGATAGATATATAGATAGATAGATAGATAGATAGATAGAGATAGATAGATAGATAGATAGATAGATAGATATATATATAGATAGATAGATAGATCGATAGATAGATAGATAGAAAGATAGATAGATAGATAGATATATAGATAGATAGATATATAGATAGATAGATAGATAGATAGATAGATAGATATATAGATAGATAGATAGATAGATAGATAGATAGATAGATAGATAGATATATATATATAGATAGATAGATAGATAGATAGATCGATAGATAGATAGATAGATATATAGATAGATAGATAGATAGATAGATAGATAGATAGATAGATCGATCGATAGATAGATAGATAGATATATAGATAGATAGATAGATAGATAGATAGATAGATATATAGATAGATAGATAGATAGATAGATATAGTCATTAGTCTTGAAGATGTTGATCCTGTTCAAAGCAATGAATCATTCATGGTGGTTGGGTTTGAGAATGGAGATAAACATGAACTTAGTCCCTGGAAATTGCAATTTCAAGCGTTTTTCAAATGATGATAAAGATTGATAATCCATATCATATGCATATAGGGCAGTGTGTCAAAACCTTGTACCCCTGGTGAACATCAAAATAGCTGGTAAATGGATGTTCATCCCACTAAAATATGGTATCTATAGGTATTGACCCATACCCATATGATTTTGGAAAACCCTATATTCAGTCACCCCTGTTAAGGCTGGACCATGCCGGACCTTAGAGTTGGTGCTGTGTGTAACAATCCAAGCCTTGGCAGGCCTTATCCGAAATCAGGGACTGTCGGTCCTTGCATGGGGATGGAAACCAGTAAAGGCAGTAAAGCATAAGAAAATAACCAGGTAACACATCGGCCTGTCACCAAGAACCAGGGGTAAATCATCCTAAACTAAACATGGGTAGACCACCTGTCAATGTACATATTCAACATGTCATATCAACACTGGCCTGTGGCTCAAGGCCTTGAGTCAACTCCAGTTGACAACATACAGATTGAGTGCGTGCAACAGCAAAAGGTGTCGACAGTTGCAGCTTGACAACAGTGCTTGAAACATCTCGCACCTTTTACATGGTAGCGGAGCTCTGCCTTACCAGGGGCATCTCCAAGCAACAGCAGTAAACAACAGGCAGAGGGCTTGATCCCAGAACGCTGGGGGACTCTCAACAATTACTGTGCACAACACCCAACAAACGACACACCAGACAACAGAGGAAGCAGCAGCTGAACAACAACACTCCGACAACAGGGAGAAGCCTTGATCCCAAGACATTGGAGGAGCTTCAACAAAAAAACCTTACAAAGCAACAATGGCGGCATCACCAACAGCACCACTAGAGGATCAGACAGAAGCGTTGGCAGCAACACACCGACTCAAACTCAAACCCCCAACATATGATGGCAACTATTCAACATTTGAGGAGTGGAAGTACAAATTCACAGCATACATGGGCCTCATGGACCCATTCTACCCCAACATCCTACGACGTGCAGCAACATCCACACAACGACTTACAGAAGCAGACTTGAGAGGAGCAGCACAGAACATGGAGGAAGCCGACAGATGGGTACAACTGGACAACAACTTGAAGTACATACTTTTGAACGTAACAACAGGAGCTGCAGCAACAGTGTGCAGACAGTATCAACATGAGATGGGACTTGAGACCTACAGGCAGCTCAGCAACAGGTTTGCCATGCCATTAGGAACAAGAAGCATAGGGTACCTAACAAAGCTGCTCAAGCCAACATTTGACAGCAACAACTTCGAGGAGTCATGCTCCAACTGGGAATTCGAGCTCTCGAGGTATGAGAGAAACAACAACACAACACTACCAGACCAAATCAAAATTGCAGTCCTGATGAACGAGACATCAGGCCCACTGCAACAACACCTGCACTTGAATGCAGGAGCAACACCAACATACGTAGAGGTACGCGAAACAAAGCCACCACAGCCCTCAGCAGGCTACACCAGCAAACTGGGACATCCAGCGTCTCAACACACGCCCAAGGAGGACCGGCACCTATGGACATTGGAGCTGTCAACAAGGGAAGTACAACAAAGGAAAAGGAAAGAAGCCCAACAAAGGAAAAGGAAAGAACAAGAGCAACAAAAGCAGAGGATATGGCTACGGAGACAATAAAGGCATAGGAAAGATTGGGCAAGGAATGCAGCCCAAAGGATCCAACAACAAAGGAGGGTACATAGGCAAAGGCAAAGGCAAGCCAACAGGAAAAGGAAAAGGGGTCCCAACACAAGGATGCTACAGATGTGGCCAACCAGGTCACATAGCAAGAGACTGTCGTGTGGCAGTACACAACCTCAACGAGGTCACAACCAACACATACACTGGCCATTGGCAAGATGATGCAACAACCCAATGGTATCAACAACAACAGTATTATGGTGGCCAATGGTGGAATGATGACCAAACACAGGTCAGCGCACTGCCGCAGCAACAACTGGCACTCCCACCAACAAGCGCGCAGGAACAGCAAGTTCCACAACTCCACATAGCAGCAATTTCAATACAGCAGTCCAACAAGCAGCAGCCAGCAACTGAGCAACCGGCAAACACCACAGAAGATTTGATGATTGACAGTGGAGCAGCAACACATGTTTGCCCACCATGGTTTGCTCCAACATACAAAACATATGAACTTCACCCAGAACAAGGCCCAAGACTTACAACAGCAACAGAGGAAGACATCACAGCTTATGGCTACAAATGGGTGTACATGAAGAACAGCAAGCAACAACCGATCGTCATACCCCTTTATGTGTGTGACGTGTCACAACCCATTTTGTCAGTAACAAGACTGGCATCACAGGGTTTCAACATCCAGCTTAGCGATAACCCAAAAATCACCAACACCAACGGCTTTGAAGCAACACTGAAGCAACAACAAGGACTGTATTTTCTTACAGTCAACATCAGCCCAATGCCAAGCAACATGAAGCTCGACATATGTGAGACGTCACATGGCATTCGAGCAACAGTGCCCCCAGTGACAATTACACCAACAGGACCTGAATGGGTCACACACAACAACGACATTTGGATATACAACAGCACAGGATATCTGGTGAGGGTACACAAGAGAACAAGGAAGGCCCTCTTCACACCAGATGCACAATGTCCAGTTCCAGAAGAACAGCTGGACAACTACAGAAGAACAATAGCATGCAAGCCAGATGGAACACTTGAGGACTTTGAGGACAAATGCAAAGACCTTCCACAACAACGACAGAACAGAAGACTTCCAGGACCAGCATGGTCAGGAGAAACATGGTTCAGAGTCAAAGAGACAACAAAGCCTCCAGCACCACCGTTGCCCAAGGCATCAACAGCAGCTTCAGCACCAGCATCAGCAACACCAAAGGCATCGGCAGCCAAGGCAATGACACAGCAACAGCAGCAACAAGCGCAGCAGCCTACAGGATCAGCAGTTCGACGCAGAGAGAAGAAGCCAGTGGAACAACCTTTGGTACCACAGCAACAGCAGCCCATGAAGCAACACGCATATCCAGGAACAGCAGTTCCAGGACCAAAGGACACACCAGCACCAGCAACATGATCACGGCGCTGGAGGATTTTTTTGGACAAAAGATGGGATTATAGTGGGATTCAACCAGGAATGGTGGGATTATAATGGGATAGTAGTGGGATAATAGTGGGATAATGGCGATAATACTTGGATTTTATAATGGGATACTCCTAAATCCTTTAGGATTTAACCACTCGTGGTGGGATTTAACATGATTTAAACAAGAAAAATTGATAATTTCTATGGGAATGGTGATGGTGATGGCATGGGGAAATCAATAATTAGTGATTTAATCTGAATGACTTACAACGACCTCACGTGGTGACGTGATGGTATGTTCAGGTGAGTGAATTATTCTGGGTAAATTATAACGACCTCACTGCGACCTCACTGGAAATCATGGTTAATAAGGGGAATCACCCCCAAATGGCCTTAATTCAGGTTAGTGAATTATTATAATTTACCCAGATTATTGTAAGTCAGAATTCAGCCAGATCCATTGGGTTCTCCATTGGATAATGATTCTGATGATTGATAATCCATGGGAAAGCCCAAAAAACAACATGGGAGATATCCAACACTCCAATGCTTATTGATATTAGTATTGATAATGAATTGAATATAGATGATGAATGATGATGATAATGAATTGAATATAGATGATGAATGATGATGATAATGAATTGAATATAGATAATGAAGAACAAAGTGAATATTAACATCCATAACATCCTGAATAGATAGCGATGAACAAACATATCAGTATGAATGGACACATGTAGTTTTCAGTCGAGTCCTCCCAAAAAATGCACAACTTTCCAGGTGAATCATGCTGATTTATCCAGGTGTATGTTTCCTCAACATGGAGACAAAAAACAAGAGTGAATAGCACACACAGTTTTGGCACTTTGCCAGTTATACGTACTTATAACATCTTATAACCCCATTTATAGAATTTCTAATCCCAACTACCCTCTGGTAAACTAACATAGCTATTGAAAATGGCCATTTATAGTGGATTTTCCATTAAAAATGGTGATTTTCCATAGCAAACTGTTAGTTTACCAGAGGGTAATAGCCATGGCCATAACTGCACCACCTTTAGGCTTTTCTCGAAACTCTCCGCCACATGTTCTGCCAAGTTTGTGGCCCTTGAGGGGCCGTCGGGCCGTAATTCGTTGCTTGCTATTCGTTGCTTCCGTTGGGCGACTCCCCAGAAAAATCGAAAGAGTAATTCATCACCCCATTTACCCTCTGGTAAACTAACATAGCTATTGGAAATCACCTTTTTCAATGGGAAAATCAACTATAAATGGCAATTTTCAATAGCTATGTTAAATTACCAGAGGGTATAGAATCTATAATCCTGGTTGGTGGTTTGGAACATTGTTATTATTTATTTCCATATATTGGGAAGAATCATCCCAACTGACTTTCATATTTTTCAGAGGGGTTGAAACCACCAACTAGACTACTTGAATAGGAATTTACTCTTTTTGATTTTTTGGAGTTACCCATTAATAACTTGGAATTGTGCGATCAAACATGTTGACTATTACCCTGAATACCCGGTGGGTCAAAAATTGAAGGCTGAAAATGTGCTCATGTCTTTTTGGTATTTACCAGTAATGTGTATAGTCAAACGTAGTCCACCAGTCTTGTGACACCCAATGTTTGCCTCAAAAAAAACGGTGTTGTTGGATCAGTTCTCATCAATCCCACCATCTTTCCAGAGATCTTCAATCATCTCCCCACCGTTTGTTCTGGACCAACCTTGGATGGATAGCTTAGAGTCGTTTAATTTGTCCTTTAATTGTGTCCTGTCACTGGGAATATATATATAATTATATATATATACTAATCAGCATTAGTTCATAGTATCTTGTGGTAATAAAACATATAAAACATGGCTTGCTGGAAACTCTCCTGTAGAGTATGTTCGATGATTTTCTCATTGAAACGCCCATGTGTTTCGGAGATTTGCCGTGTTTGATTGCCAGAAACTATCCCCCATATTTCTTGGTAACCTATCCCCACTCAACTCCGCCTTTTTAGTAGTTAAATATCACATCCCAACATATCCCCGCTATATAAACCTCATGTTAAACACCTCATGAACTACTAAGAAATGTAACATACATGGTAATCATATCAACAATGAGTTGTAACATATCCACGAAACACCTCATTTTTGTTGGTTCTGTAAATCATGTCAATGGATTGGTTTAAGGGAAAATTTTAACCGGAAAACCCCATGATCTTAGTGGGAAAATCGATGGTTTCCGGTTAAGAGTTTCCCTTAAACCAATCCATTGATCATGTCAAATCCACCATTTTTTTGTTGATCACACTGATCATCATCCAGGCCACAACTTGGCGCGTGCACGCCCCATCAGATCAACTGCAAGGCAGGGCCCCAGGGCGGCAAACCGGCAGGGCGCCACCGAAGGATGGCATGGGACTCTAAGCAAAACATAGGTTTAATTACCCTCTGGTAATTTAACGTAGCTATTGAAAATGGTCATTTATAGTTGATTTTCCCATTAAAAATGGTGATTTTCTATAGCTATGTTAAATTACCAGAGGGTAAAAGATGGGATGGGAACTAACCATCAAAAAAGGGGAAGTATTTCTTGTAGCAAAAAAATCCAGATGCGATATGATGGTGATGAAGATACCATCAAAGAAGTTGGAAGTTAAGCAACAGGAAATGTGGATTTAATCAACAAAATGAGGACATCAGTTAGAAAGGAGGGAGTTTGGCAACAGACATATTCAATTACAGTATCAGCTACATATATATATATATATACATATACATATAGATATAGATATATATACATATATATATGCAGTATATATATATGATATCTTGGTATTGGTAAGAGGCGCCACTTGCCCTCTGGCAGTATACCGGCAGGAGTTTGGACCAATCGTACCGTGTCCCGAGATCACGTCCCTGCGATGCAGCTGGTGCTGGTTGGACCTGCAGACACATGGCGGTCACCAGATGATCAGCAAACCCGCTTTGCAATAGATTCAGACAGGTGCAGTCACTGCAGTCATGTCCGTTTCTATCCATGAATGGGGGATACCAACAACAACTGCTTGGTGCTTTGGAACATTTTTTATTTTCCCATATATTGGGAATAATATAACCTCAACTGACGAACTCATATTTTTCAGAATTTTTCAGAGGGGTAGGTCAATCACCAGCCAGACAAACATTGCGAATGGAACAAGTATTGCAATGTGATAGATATAGATATGAATCTCATCCCGGTGGATTTCTGGATGTTCATCCCCCCCAAATATGGTATCGATTTGGTCCATCCCCATATGAGGCATTTTTTTTTCAGATTCAAACAGGAGTTTCTTTAAAAAAGGGGGTTCCAAAACCATGAGTTCAAATATTTTTTATGGTCCTTTATAACTTGGATGATTTGGGCATTTTAGGACATTCCCAAGCACGAATTGACTGGTCACTGCATGTGTTGGCCACATTTTGTTGGCTCCATGTTGGATGATGCTGGTGAATCAGTTCGCTGTGGTTATCCTCGAATTGATGCAACATTGGGCCATAACTACAACCCCACTGAATTTCCTAATCAGAGACCCATCTACCATTTATGGATGACTTTCCTATATTGAAACCTACATTTATAATCATTTTCTAAAAAAATTATAGGGCATTTCGAAATTGCTATGTTCAAGTGAAGCAATGATCCTCCAAAAAAGACGGATGCAGTTCTGCGGCCCTGGAGGATCCGAGTGTTTGGAATATCTGAAGAGGACGGCGCTGCCCGGGGTGCCATGGTGACCACAGCCGGGTACCAATTGACCCACAAAATTGGTGGAAGTGTGGGATGAGCAATGTTAGTCTCATGGTTCTAACATGTTCCTCATGGTTCTAATATGTTCTAATCATCTCAGAACTTGCTTGAATACGTTTGAATACAGAACACTATATATAACTCAGACAAGCATCAAAAGAGATCTCTGAGATGAGTAATGATTAATGTGTTTGCCCTCGGGTGGAAGAGGCAGTCACAATACACCAGAGCGGATCTGTCACAGGCAGTGTTCAAAACCCCTGTTTGATGATTAGTTCGAGGGTTATACTACCCTGCAAAAAAAATGGGGATTATGGGATTATAGTAATCCCATAATCCGGGGAATCCCTATATGGAAGAGGGATTAATAGAACACTGCTCAATTGATCAAAATTGGTCATTTGTTGTACTGAAACCATCCATCGCCCACTGTTGGGAACCCGAGATGTGTCACGTTTTCTTTTGCTGCTGGCTCAACGTCACATTCATGAATGAACTTTGGAACATCCCAAAAAAATCAACAGTTTTTTTTGGGATATTATGTATACAATAGTTTCTATAGGAAAGGATCAATGACATCTATATTCCATATACATTAGGCGGATGGTATAGTATGCACCCTGCCGAGCCACTGTGTACCTGTCATGTGCACAGTACCGAACACAGCCCCTTCTGCAGGTTGAAAAGGAGGTTCATTGCAAAGAACTAACCCACAGTCAACCAGTTGATACTAACCTAATCTAAACGATTCCAAACCGCTATTTAAGAGTGATTGTTGCTCCATGCATCTCCAAGTATTGCGTCCATCGAAAAAACACAAAAGGTTGGTCTGGAAAAAAAGGGTACCGCGGGTACCCCAAATCCAGTGGTTTTTTAGAAAATTGTGCCCTGGCATGAAATGGCATGACATGGCCTTAAAAAATTGGGTATACCCATGTATACCCCGTTTTCAGACCCGCCATCCAGTCACATTGATCCATTGGTGTAAAAATCCCTCAAAGAGGGTCAAGTCTCGAAGTTTTGCCTGGTGAAATTTCAGTTTATGAGGGGTAAATCTGCTAAATTTACTCTACAATTCATGTATAACCGAGTATAACCCATATAGCTGGGAAGATTAAATAAAGAAAACTACCGTGAATCTGTGTGTGTGTGTTTGCCCGCCAGCTTCATAACCACTTCACTCCCAGGTATTTTTTGGGGGATCTCAACACCCCCTATGCGAATCCCCCATTCGAATGGACTATTGTTCACATTGTTCACAGTTAAATCGTGTTAAATCCTCCATTTGAATCTGACCCCCCCCTATACCCTCTGGTAAACTAACATAACTATGGAAAATCACCATGTTTAATGGGAAAACTCACTATTTCTATGGCAATTTTCAAGTTCGCAAACTGTAAACGTTTACCAGAGGGTAAGTTGACCACCGACTTCAAGGAGCGTGGCGTCCCTTACGGAACCGGTGGTGCTGCTGTCCCCTTTCCTGCTGCAGGAGAAGTGGTCCGACAAAACCACCCAGGCGCGAGGACTTTTTTGGGGCTTGGGATGGCTCGGTGTTTGGGTCGATTTTGCATGAAAAGTATACGTATATAATATATATATAGATATATAGATAGATAGATAGATAGATAGATCGATAGATCGATAGATCGATAGATAGATAGATATATAGATAGATAGATATATAGATAGATAGATAGATAGATAGATAGAGATAGATAGATAGATCGCTCTAGCTCTAGATCGATCGACTCGGTCTATAGCTCGATCTCCCGCTCTCATCAGAAGCTCTCTCGCTCGTTTCTACTACTCGCATCGCTCGAAGTCGCATCGCCTCGCTCTACTCGCTCTCTGATCTCTCTCCGCTAGATATCTCGCTAGATCATCTCATCGATAGATAGATAGATAGATATATAGATAGATAGATAGATAGATAGATAGATAGATAGATAGATCGATCGATAGATAGATAGATAGATATATAGATAGATAGATAGATAGATAGATAGATAGATATATAGATAGATAGATAGATAGATAGATATAGTCATTAGTCTTGAAGATGTTGATCCTGTTCAAAGCAATGAATCATTCATGGTGGTTGGGTTTGAGAATGGAGATAAACATGAACTTAGTCCCTGGAAATTGCAATTTCAAGCGTTTTTCAAATGATGATAAAGATTGATAATCCATATCATATGCATATAGGGCAGTGTGTCAAAACCTTGTACCCCTGGTGAACATCAAAATAGCTGGTAAATGGATGTTCATCCCACTAAAATATGGTATCTATAGGTATTGACCCATACCCATATGATTTTGGAAAACCCTATATTCAGTCACCCCTGTTAAGGCTGGACCATGCCGGACCTTAGAGTTGGTGCTGTGTGTAACAATCCAAGCCTTGGCAGGCCTTATCCGAAATCAGGGACTGTCGGTCCTTGCATGGGGATGGAAACCAGTAAAGGCAGTAAAGCATAAGAAAATAACCAGGTAACACATCGGCCTGTCACCAAGAACCAGGGGTAAATCATCCTAAACTAAACATGGGTAGACCACCTGTCAATGTACATATTCAACATGTCATATCAACACTGGCCTGTGGCTCAAGGCCTTGAGTCAACTCCAGTTGACAACATACAGATTGAGTGCGTGCAACAGCAAAAGGTGTCGACAGTTGCAGCTTGACAACAGTGCTTGAAACATCTCGCACCTTTTACATGGTAGCGGAGCTCTGCCTTACCAGGGGCATCTCCAAGCAACAGCAGTAAACAACAGGCAGAGGGCTTGATCCCAGAACGCTGGGGGACTCTCAACAATTACTGTGCACAACACCCAACAAACGACACACCAGACAACAGAGGAAGCAGCAGCTGAACAACAACACTCCGACAACAGGGAGAAGCCTTGATCCCAAGACATTGGAGGAGCTTCAACAAAAAAACCTTACAAAGCAACAATGGCGGCATCACCAACAGCACCACTAGAGGATCAGACAGAAGCGTTGGCAGCAACACACCGACTCAAACTCAAACCCCCAACATATGATGGCAACTATTCAACATTTGAGGAGTGGAAGTACAAATTCACAGCATACATGGGCCTCATGGACCCATTCTACCCCAACATCCTACGACGTGCAGCAACATCCACACAACGACTTACAGAAGCAGACTTGAGAGGAGCAGCACAGAACATGGAGGAAGCCGACAGATGGGTACAACTGGACAACAACTTGAAGTACATACTTTTGAACGTAACAACAGGAGCTGCAGCAACAGTGTGCAGACAGTATCAACATGAGATGGGACTTGAGACCTACAGGCAGCTCAGCAACAGGTTTGCCATGCCATTAGGAACAAGAAGCATAGGGTACCTAACAAAGCTGCTCAAGCCAACATTTGACAGCAACAACTTCGAGGAGTCATGCTCCAACTGGGAATTCGAGCTCTCGAGGTATGAGAGAAACAACAACACAACACTACCAGACCAAATCAAAATTGCAGTCCTGATGAACGAGACATCAGGCCCACTGCAACAACACCTGCACTTGAATGCAGGAGCAACACCAACATACGTAGAGGTACGCGAAACAAAGCCACCACAGCCCTCAGCAGGCTACACCAGCAAACTGGGACATCCAGCGTCTCAACACACGCCCAAGGAGGACCGGCACCTATGGACATTGGAGCTGTCAACAAGGGAAGTACAACAAAGGAAAAGGAAAGAAGCCCAACAAAGGAAAAGGAAAGAACAAGAGCAACAAAAGCAGAGGATATGGCTACGGAGACAATAAAGGCATAGGAAAGATTGGGCAAGGAATGCAGCCCAAAGGATCCAACAACAAAGGAGGGTACATAGGCAAAGGCAAAGGCAAGCCAACAGGAAAAGGAAAAGGGGTCCCAACACAAGGATGCTACAGATGTGGCCAACCAGGTCACATAGCAAGAGACTGTCGTGTGGCAGTACACAACCTCAACGAGGTCACAACCAACACATACACTGGCCATTGGCAAGATGATGCAACAACCCAATGGTATCAACAACAACAGTATTATGGTGGCCAATGGTGGAATGATGACCAAACACAGGTCAGCGCACTGCCGCAGCAACAACTGGCACTCCCACCAACAAGCGCGCAGGAACAGCAAGTTCCACAACTCCACATAGCAGCAATTTCAATACAGCAGTCCAACAAGCAGCAGCCAGCAACTGAGCAACCGGCAAACACCACAGAAGATTTGATGATTGACAGTGGAGCAGCAACACATGTTTGCCCACCATGGTTTGCTCCAACATACAAAACATATGAACTTCACCCAGAACAAGGCCCAAGACTTACAACAGCAACAGAGGAAGACATCACAGCCTATGGCTACAAATGGGTGTACATGAAGAACAGCAAGCAACAACCGATCGTCATACCCCTTTATGTGTGTGACGTGTCACAACCCATTTTGTCAGTAACAAGACTGGCATCACAGGGTTTCAACATCCAGCTTAGCGATAACCCAAAAATCACCAACACCAACGGCTTTGAAGCAACACTGAAGCAACAACAAGGACTGTATTTTCTTACAGTCAACATCAGCCCAATGCCAAGCAACATGAAGCTTGACATATGTGAGACGTCACATGGCATTCGAGCAACAGTGTCCCCAGTGACAATTACACCAACAGGACCTGAATGGGTCACACACAACAACGACATTTGGATATACAACAGCACAGGATATCTGGTGAGGGTACACAAGAGAACAAGGAAGGCCCTCTTCACATCAGATGCACAATGTCCAGTTCCAGAAGAACAGCTGGACAACTACAGAAGAACAATAGCATACAAGCCAGATGGAACACTTGAGGACTTTGAGGACAAATACAAAGACCTTCCACAACAACGACAGAACAGAAGACTTCCAGGACCAGCATGGTCAGGAGAAACATGGTTCAAAGTCAAAGAGACAACACAGCCCCCAGCACCACCGTTGCCCAAGGCATCAACAGCAGCTTCAGCGCCAGCATCAGCAACACCAAAGGCATCAGCAGCCAAGGCAACGACACAGCAACAGCAGCAACAAGCGCAGCAGCCTACAGGATCAGCAGTTCGACACAGAGAGAAGAAGACAGTGGAACAACCTCTGGTGCCACAACAACAGCTGCCAATGAAGCAACAAGCATATCCAGGAACAGCAGTTCCAGGACCAAAGGACACACCAGCAACAGCAGACTACTGGATCAAAGAAGGACAGTACTGGAAGAGAGTCCATGTACAACGACGGACTCAGCTTTACATCCCACAACAAACAATGGCTGGTCCAGATGTCACAAAGCTATTGCCACAAAGACAAACCATAGTTAAGCCAACATCAGGAGCCAGAGGATACACGATTGATGATGACTGGACAACAAAGACCTCAGCAACAATGAATTTCACATGGACGGGCTCAACAAACTTTGAGGAGAGCACGGCGTTCTAAGAGGAGTACTACAACATCGATGAGGAAGAACATCTCGATGCCAGAACAGCAAAAGGCATCAAAGCACCAGAGCAGCCAACAGCACAAGAGCGTGCTGAACATGAACTCACACACCTCCCCTACAGGAGTTGGTGTCCAACATGTGTTCAAAACAAAGGACGAGCAGACAACCACCCACGACAACACAGCAAACAACCAGTCGTACAATTCGACTTTTGTTTCTTCAAAACACTTGGAGAAAAGGAAACAACACCAATCCTCACAGGCATTGACGTGGAAACAGGCATGAGCATGGCAGTTCTTGTCAACAGCAAGACAGCAGACTTTCAATATCACGTCCAATGCATACAAACATTCCTCATGGAGTGTGGCAGAGTACAAGCTGTACTCAACAGCACAATCCTACAGTCAGATCAGGAGGATCACCTCATAGCACTTCTCAGAGCAACAGCAGCTAAGATGGGAGGAAACATCACAGTTCGACAAGCACCAACATACACATCACAAGCACAAGGCAGCGTCGAACGCTTTCACAGAACACTCATGGGACAAGTCAGAACACTGAAGTCCCAACTGCAGAACAACTACGACATCAGACTTACAAGCAAACATCCCATCGTAGCATGGATGGTGAGACACACAGCTTACCTGCTCAACAGGTATGCCATACACTCAGATGGCAACACAAGCTTCTACAGGAGATGGCATAAAGAACACAAAACACCACTCTGTGAGTTTGGTGAAACAGTTCTTTACATGTTGCCAAACTCAGCAGTCATTCCAAAGATGGAACGGCGCTTCATGCCAGGCATATGGCTTGGTAAAGACACAACATCCGATGAGAACCTCATTGGAATTTCCAACAAGGTTGTTCGAGCACGAACAATCAGAAGGCTTCCAGCACCAGAAAAGTACAACAAGCAACTGATGGACGTGATCAACAGATCACCAACACTCCCATACACCACTGGTGGACCATACGTTTCAAAACCACCACTGGTCTACAAGCCATTGAGGAGACCAGCAACTGCAGAAACAGGCA